ATATATATATATATATATATATATATATATATAACAATATATTTTGCCGCATTACATTTCGCTTACATTAAATAACATGCAACGTTTACTCTTTTGCAAAGTCTAAAAATCATTTTAGGAAGTAAAAATGGCAATCGAAGAACAGCCAATGTTAGATCAGTTGGCTATACAGACTTATTTGTGCTAAGCAAGAACGATTTGTGGACAGCGTTGAAAGAATACCCTGACGCCAGAAAATTACTAATCGCTAAGGTTTTATTTGTATCAACTTCATTTTTATGAGATATTATGAGATTGTTATTTTCTTAAAATTTTTTACAAAACTTACACTGTTAAGGTTGGTAGTTCACATTTGTTTCCGAAAATAAATTACAGTATGCATTGACTTTCTCACAATGATGAATAAAGCTGAAATACAATGATTATTTAATTCAGAATTCTGCTGTAAAAACCAGAGTATACATGCTACTTTAGTGCTTACTGTTGCTTTGTGACGGGAAGTTCACAATTTATGATTCCAAATTCGAGCTAGTATTATCATGAAATTTTGTCTTGATAAGCCAAAAAGAAAAAGATTACAATAACATGATCATAATTTTATAGATGGGAAAAATGCAGTAATATGTTGTAATTTGCTAAGGTGCATTAGACGCAAACATAATTATAGGAATGTTACTGTAGTTACAAAGACCATGAAAGTACGTAATGCATTCAGGGAAGGGAAATTCTGCGTAAAGATGGCTTACTGGATGAAAATGCTCCTGAAGAACAAATGACTGCGGAAGAAATGGTGGAAAATTTACAAAGTACCCTTAGGAATATGCAAATTAAGTATGAATACGGCTTGCAACAAACTTTATCTGAAAGAATAATATTTCGAAGACAATTCTGACCAAAAATTATCATCGAAATATGATTTCTACATTTATACAACAAAAAGACTCATTTTGTATAAAAAGCGCAAAATGTTTAATCCTTTTAAAAAAAACCTTGAAAAAAATTCACTTCTCCATTCAATTTCATAGAACAAAATTGATGAATAAATTGTGTGGTTCCTAGAATGGCTCGATTTGTGGCAGAATTTACGAGTATGAAATCAAAGTTGCTCGCAAGGATCGAATATTTGGAAACCCAGTTAGCCACATACCAGATCGAACCCAAGTCTGCTCCAAATCAAGATCTTGACTGAATTAGGCCTGAAGTGCTAGAAGAACAGAAACAAGTGGAAACATATGTTTGAGACATTGCATGTATTTTAATAAAAACTGTTAAATAAAATTGTTGTTGTGTTGAAGCATTCGTCCAAAATGTTGGATCAGCATTTTTTTAGGTTTTTTTAAAAAAATGGAATATTTTGTATGTTATGAATCGATTGATTAGATCTAGTTTTGATTCATTGTTGATATTAATTTCGAAATTGATGTGACTTCATGAATATTAATTTTTTAACAATTTTTTTGCAACTAGTGACTGCTTCAGTAACTTGGCTAGCTCTGGCAAAATGTTCCAATTCGCTGCTTCAGCGACGACTAATTAAAACATAAATCAGGTAATGCCTGGGAGGGCAGAAAATTCTACCGTTGCAACTATTAGAATATAACCAAGTTTTCATAATAGTCTTGTCTACATAAGTATTTTATGTTGCGACTGCTCTTAGCCTTAAACACATAGTAAAGTGATAAAATAATCATAGTTCAAAAAAATTATTAATTAAAAGTAGAAAAAGAATCAAGTGATAGCAATAACAATACTGACGGATAATAATGTCAAAGTAATAACATTAATTTTACTAATTTTCGACTAATTCTGACATATCAGAAAAGTTTAATTCAATAAAAATGGAAAATATATAACAGTATTCTGAAGTGAGAAAAAACTGCGAGGTTTGACACTTATGCAAATTAATTAGAGTGGAATGCAAATCAGTAAAAAAATGGATAAAAGCCAAGCTTTGATGAGTGATTATCAGTTATGTTATTAGTATTGGGAGCAGTGTTGTGAAGATGTGCGGCGGGAGATCCTGGCTGAAGCACTGAAGGGGGGTTAGTGGATTTTTTTTTATATTTGCAGAAGAAGAAAAGCTCAATGACAAACTTTCAAAGGATTATTACATGGGAGGGGTCATCAGTTCAAAGACAAACCTTGAAGATATGCAACTTTCGAACTCTTAAAGAAGGTTTGACTGCTCTCTTCTGCTGCTAGTGTATAAGACACTTTGTGTTAATTGAATGCACTGAGATAACGCATTATTTGCGCATCAAACCCGTGAAATCAGGAAGGTTGTAATTAGCACTAGTGTCAAATTCTGGAAGTGCGGTAAAACATTAAAAAGGTCACGGAGCCACGGGGAGTTGAAAAGGATAGTACTGAGAATTGTAGAATACATGATTTTCAATCTATCGATAAACATTTTTGATACTTTTATTCATTAGCTGAAATGTGAACTTGTAAAAATTGAGTTTCAAATTTGAGCGGGAAAATGCGCAGTCAGTAATGTTTAAAAATTATGAGTGAGAAAGTCTCATGGAATGGATTTTCTTCAGTCAGACAGCTGTTTTTGAAATCAAATTGACTTAATTTATAGGGAAGTATCTTTTTGATTTAAAGCAATTAAAATATATCAAATCTCATCCGAATTCATTAGCATTCCTTCTACAAAACTGTACTGCAAAATTATTGAATAAGCGCTCTTCAAATTTGAATCATTTTGTTTCTAAATCATGAAATGAAATGTCTGTCAGCTAGGTATTTTTTTCAAGAGGATTATGTCCATTCAAATATTAAAGTTGCGGATTAAAAGTAGACTTGAGACAAACTCAATAATAGACTTTTCTGGGTCGAACAATTATTTCTTCATTGCTCGGTACTGATTGTTTTGGTTAATCTCCCTCCACCGTACTGCAAAACGTTGTATATTATTTATCTGCAAACTTTTCAGATTGAACTCAGTTTTATCACACACTAAAGATAATTATTTATTAATCCACATATGAATTGCTGCTCACTCTTATTCCACAGATTTGCTCTGAAGTGGACAAAATGATTAATGTAAAAAAATATTTGACGAAAGATATATTTGTTTAGAAGTAATTTGCTTGCTTTCAGGCGAATACTGAATTTCCAATTGACAATATCAGAGGAGAAAATTTCGCTTAATCTAGTTTTTAATATTTTCTGCATTAATTAATTATCCATATAAAGTTTTATTTAAATAAGCGAGAATGAAAATCTGACTTCCACAAAAATTGATGTTGCTTCTTTATGCTGATTTAGATTTACTACATAAGTAATGAAACAAAGTTTTTTTTTAATGAATTCTGAGTTCAAATGCAAATACAGTATTGTTTACTTTTGACTTCAAAGCAAGTTTCAGTGATTTTAGCGCACTTATTTTCACTGTGAAGGTAAAAGAATAGTCATATGCTTACTCTCATCCAATGTTGATTCTCAATTTTCACCCAATAGTTGAAGTTAATAATTTCATTATCCATTTACTTGATTTTATGATCTGATTTTCAATTTTCAGATTCTTGAATGTTTGAGTGTATTCCACTGAAAAATATGCCAGTTGGGGGCCATTGGACTCATCGTGGAGGTTTTACACTACGAGCTTTTCCCAGACGATTTGATAATAACTTCGACATGTTTCGACATGCCGAAATTACTGTTGGGTTCTATCATCGTTCCCAAGAAAGCGGAAAGGTGATATTCGTATTTGCTGATTTCATCTTCAGGAGGAAAAACATTGCAGACAAAGTTTTAGCTTGAAACACCTTTAGGACATTTTATTAAATTTTATATTGTTCCACTCAAATTAAGTATCATTCTGATATCAGAACGAAAATTACTTACATATAAACATGGGGTTCATAAAATTCGAATCATTCACGCAAGAACGTAAACGAGGTAGTCAGAAAAAACCAAGTAGTCAACAATTAAGTTAGTTGATTAGAAATTTCTACTGAAGCGTCGTCATGAAGTCTGTATTCATGCTGCATATTCCTAAAATTGAAGTAAAGTTGTGGCTTTGATTCTCGAATTAATTTCAAGAATAATTATATAATGATGTTTGGGTAATTAATATGAAACACTGAAATCTGAATGCAAACTAGTTCATGAAATGAAAATTATATAGGCGGGAAGACTGAAAATTACAAATTATAATTTTAGATTTTTATTAATTATAATTGTTCATTTCAATTATTGATTTCAGATGTTTCATGCAATGAAACAAAAAACAGAATTCGCCTTTGAGCAGCGACGTAACTTGGAGGCCATTCGCTTGCGGAACTATGTTGACGTCGCAAGAAAGCAAAAGTCTTTGGAACGAGCAAGTTTTGTTTGAATTATAAAATGGAATGAAAGAGCTTTTTTAAGGCTGAAACTGAAGTTTTAAAAATCATCATTAAAGCTCCGGGATAAACAAGGAATCCAAAATAGGGGCCGCCATCCACTTCACATTTATTTTTTTTACTTCATCTAAGTATCAAAGATGTCTATTAATGAATTATTACCAATGCTCTTCCCTAATATAGCTTGTTAATAAAAAGGAGAGAGTTTTTTGCAAAACTTAAATACCGCTGTAAGCTAACAGTACCATCACAAAACATATTTTCTACATGGATTTGTGTTTTTGAGGCTCCTTTGACAAATGATGTTGCATTAGCAATTGAAGTACCGTGTTTGGAGTATGCTGGGATGATGGAACGGAAAGAAACTTGGTTTGAAAAAGATTCCATACCGAAAATCATGCATGATACTGGTGTACTGATTCAATTTCCAGACTTGATACCTGATATCGAAAATGCTAATGATCATATAAACAGAGTAAGTTTTAATTCTGAATAGTTCAGGATTTCATTTTTTGCTCAAATTTGTTTCGTTATGAGAATCTTGTTCCAGTTATTTCATTCACTTCACAAAAAATTCATTTTATTTACTTGAGGTGATATTATATGGACCGCTGTCAAACGTCGAACAAGCTAGAGTTCGCATTAGAGTAAGTTAATCTACTGATTTCATTTCATTAGATGGTTTTGCAGTGATCATCTTACTCTCCCTTTTTTTTCGTTTAAAACAACTGATAGAGAACGCATTGTCGAATTACATATTCTTTTTAGAATTTGACGCCTGTAGCGGTCAGTTTTCCTCTGAAGGCATTAAAACCTGATATATTATTGAAAGATGTTAGAAATATAATCGATGAGGCCATTGCTGGAAAAATAATTAATTTCCCTGACCTTCAAATACTAGTGCAGTTTCAGCAGCCGGTGATTTTTCATTAATAGCTGGTTTTGGCAAAAAGCTATATAATTCTATATCAGAAGTGCCACTGATCAAAAGTTTTTGATAACTATGCCCAAGTTAGATTGTAGTTGCCGAAAAATTAATTTAGTTTACTGAACTTATTTAAATTTCCACAAATATTGTATTGCAGTAGCTTAAGCTTTGAACAAGGCTAGGAAAGTACTTCTGCCAGCATTATAATGATCATGATACCATTACCTGATGTATTTTTCAGTCAGATGATCAAGTCCCGATGTGTGTTGTACGTGGTCCGTCATATTGTGAGGGTGATATATGTAATGCTTGCACAGCTCTTCATCGCCTGTTGTTTGATGCAGCAGACGACAGTGAACATGTGATCAATTACTGTTTAATTTTAAAAAAATCTAATTCAAATTAAATTTTTCTTATAAAAAAACGATATTGGTCAGCCAACACCGAATAAAATAAATTGGCAAGCAAAATTATATTTTATTTTTTTCAGAGTTCAGCTACGATATACTCCACAATCATGAATATACCGGCTATCCAGCAAACTGTTATAGTCGGAGTGCCAGATGCATTTCTGATTCGTTTAATAAGTTTGGAAACAAATGCGATTATTTACTTTCCAACCATAGCAGACCGAAATTATAATGCAACTTTATTTCATATTCATGGTGCAGTGCGTTCTATTTTGCAAGCCAGAAAGTTCATTCAGGTTCAATTTCATCCTCATTATTTATTATAAATAAAGCCAATTTGTTTTTCAATGTCATATTTATAGGGTTTGCTGCCGGTATGCCTGACTTTCGATGTCGAAAATGATGACTTACTCTCTCCGATTGATGCTTCGAATCGAGACTTATTTATGCGAGATGTTGACCGAGATTTAACAGTTACGGTCAACAAGAGTCGTTTGGAAGGTCAAAAAATAACTGAAAATGACACCCTACGAGTGTGTTTTAGAAAATTTAAGCATATCGTACTTGACCAACGTTTAGAAAAACGAAGAGCAGCTTTCTTACAAGGAATCACACAACTATCGACTAAGTTTCAGAAAAGTTTATGATTTTTTTAATAGAATGGAGAGAAATATTAAAATAGTTACAGGCAAAAAATCAGTTTAAATCTAAAAATATTTTGTTTCAAAGATGATTATATAGTATTTGCAGCATATGATAACTATTAAATCTGAAGAATATAATCTCACAAATGTTTATGCTACCCGACATCAACTTTTTCGCAAGGATATAGCAAAGGAGGAACCGTTTATCATGACAAAGGATTTCGAGTTTTTCGAGCAAGATTTCAGAACACTGATTGCAAAAAACAATCAGGTTATCGCGGAGGTTTGTGAATAAATTACGCAGTTAAGATATACTTATGCGCTGATCATGCAGTATACACGTGTAAAGATACCATTATTTAAAAATACAATCATAAATGCTTTTGACTTGTATCGATGAACAACATTCCATCACTATTTTTTCAAAAGTTGTTTTATTAACATCATATTTGTTTAAACCATATTTCAGCTTTCGCAAAATATAAATAAGAATGACGTAGTAACAAAAGCCTCGCCCTTTCTAATTTCTCACGCACCTCAAACCAAAATCCCAAACAGTGAGTCCAATTTTTGATGTACCCAAGCATTGGTTTCTCTTTCGAAAATTTGCATACAAAACAGCTGAAAAGATGCATGAAACATTTTCAATTTTCAGCATACTTTGATTAATATTGCTGATTTAGTATTAGATCAGTTTTCCGTAGAATTTGTTTTTTTCTGTATCTTTGCCATTTCAATTTTTTAATTATTAAGTGCTTTCATTTTTTTTCTAGTAGCGTCGTTAGAGAATACAGTTTCTAGTATTCTTTCTTCAACAATGATAAGGGAAGTTAGTGAGCTGTATTCACACATGCAGATTTCTCCAGAAATCTTCAAACCATCCAGGATTTACATGAACAACATTCTAGCAGATACATCGGTCGCTGTACCAATTGCTAATATTTCTGCAAGTACGTCGTATTTTTCGCATCTTTCGAAGACTGATTGATTCATTCGCTATCCATAATTGTACAGAGTTTACTGTGCATTTCTATTTTTTACTATTAAATTTGTAAATGCTAAACAGACGGCGGTATAGGGAAGAAGTTTAGGATTTTGTTCATCGAAGAGTGCAAAATATTTAGCAGTGAAGACTGAAATAACTATAACTCAACAATGCAACATTACATCTTTATTTTCTCGAGTGATCAGAAAATAAAAACTCGTTTTTGTTTTCTCAACTGCATAAAATACAAAGGTACTGAGACAAGAATCATTCTAAATACGAATTGAAAATAAAGACACTTAGAACAGTTTCTATTTGACTCGCATTAATGTAATCAAGACAAATACTTAAATTTAAGAACACTGTTTGATACGGAAAATTTTGTAGGTCAGGGAATAATCACAAATGATACGATATTTACAACTAAAATACCATCCTTAACTTTAAAAGTAAGTTAAGAAATCAATAGTAAGTATTGTATTTTCCAGTAAATATCTCTTTTTTCGTGATTGAGCGCAGTAAATTTTTTTAGCACAAAAAATAGGTAATGATTTATCAAAAAATTTGTATCGTTGAAAATCGTACTTAATATCGGTTCAGAAGTCTTTTTAAAGAGTGCTAATGGAAGAGACTTTAAGTGTATTTATTTAAGGAACAGAAGCAATCTGATGCAGTGAATATTACAGTTCCTCAGCTCTTGAATTTGTTTCGATATGAAAATAAGGATGCTGTAATAACTGCTACCGATAGTCCAGAAAAACCATCACCTGCAGTTCCTGTTCTACATGTGGTTCACACATTTTTAAGAAGACATTTTTTATTAATATTGCTCTTGATGCTCAATGCCTAAATGATATTCAGTATTTCTAAATTTACTGAAGTGCTGGAGCAGAATAAATCTATGCTTAATATTTTGTTCAGTATGAATTGATGAATATCAATTATGTGGCCACAAATGCTTTCATTTTAATCTTTATAAACTAATTTTGAAGGCCACACTGTATTTAACTCTTTGTTTAAGGTTAAATTCTTCTGTGTACTTCATTTAAATCGATCGATTTTAGGCAGAGTTTTTTCAGAATGGTAATAATGCATATGATGGTCATAATAAACATTTTGACAGACGGTGTTCTGATGAACCGGTGAAAAAAACCTCCTGTGATTCGATAGGCAGTATGATATCGGATAATACTTCGGAATCGAAATATCGGTCTGAGAAATTGTCGGTTCACTCGCGGTCGTCCGCAGTTCCATCTCAGTCACAGGACATGATAAGCTACAGAAACAAAGTTGTCAATGCATTAATTAACGAACAAGGTTAATTAATGATCTCAAAAGTTTTCAAAACTGGTTTTTCTTGCTAAAAAGATACATAATCTCTTGCAAATGCCTCTTAATTAAAGTTTATGTGAGTAAAACGGAAAGCTCTATTGTTGTTAACTTATGCAGAAATAGTATGAAGATTCGTTACTATTTAGGTTCAGCAACGGTAGCAGTTGCTGCAGCCATGCTTCAGAATAGCCCTCCACAATGGTTTCAGTCAGCCAGTACTATGGCAGCATTAAAATCAGCAGATTATTTTGGGCAGCTCCCTCGAATGGTAGAACAAAAGACTGTTCCAGAAGTTTGTTCGAGGTTTACAGGTAAATTGTTATAGATGACTTAGATCTTGTTTTGCATGTTTTATCTTAGTGATTTGAAAAACAAAACTGCTTAAAGCTGGTTATTTCATATCTAAGAGAAGTTGATCAAATTTACAGCAGATTTGTAATTTCAGTCGTTTTTTCTCTCGTTTTAATTTGTTTCTTTTCATCAACTATTTGAGCAGACAATGGTCCAAGTACGCGAACAAGTTCTCCGGATAAAACTTGCCTTCCAAAAAAGGATTCATTGTTGAAATCTCTTTATGCGGACGAAGTTCTACCTAATTTTGTTAAATTCAATATATTATCATTCAATATATTATCATTACTGATTGAAAATATCTTAAAATTTAGTAATAGCACAACCTAGTGGTTCTTTATTGCTTAGAGTTATAAATTCATCTCTGTTCTTTTTTCGTTTGTTATTTATGAGCCGATGAAGATAAATTTACAATGAGTGCCATGCATTTCTCCTATTTCAGAATTTTGCGCTTGATTACCAGAGGGAAAAAACGATTGCGGGAGCAAAAATTTCAGCACGAGGTCGTTAAAGTTGATGTTACTTTTTTATAGCTCTTAGAACCTGCGAAATTTATACTTACAATGAAATTCTCTTTTCTACAGTTTATTATAAATTACTTGCTGATATTTACAAATGATGAGAGAAATATACTGTAGTTTTACTGCAAGCAATCTTCAAAACAATATAGTCCAGCTGATCAGTGTTCAGAATCAAACGATGTATCGTCTGATATACGCCTGACATCCTTATCTAAAAATCGCGATATCAATCCATTATGTTTACCATTACGTGACAGTTCTGTTCAAAAGAGTAATCAGTATCGGTAAGGGCTTCTATTTTTTGTTTTCATAGTGAAATTTAATACAATGAAGCATTCATTTTCTAGGCTTTTGAATCAAGGCATCGATAATACTGGAGACAACTACAGAGGTAGGATTTCATCTCTATAAGAGAGGTCCCTCTTACAGAATTGCTTCAATGACAAATATTTCACCATCATTTAAGAACTCATTCAAACGCACTTTGAAATGTTGCAGTTAACTTTAATTTGTAGCTCGGTACAGCAATATTAAGGAAAACTCACAGCACCCATCGTCATCATTTAAAACTCATCCAAACGCGCGCGAACTTCAATCGCGGATGGTAAAAAAATTTTGATATATAAATAATAAGAATATGCAGGTTAGTCTTCTTTTTCGCTTTATTGATTCTGGCGCCGCATCGTATTCCGGCACTCTGGCAGTACTTGTCCTGCGCTCAGATTTGTTGTGCTGGCTTTTTCGTTTCGTTCTCATGAATTCCATAGCAGTTATGGAATGAGATGCTTTCGAGCGTTTTCTTGAGCACTATCGACTGCATATATGCCTAACCCTGATCTGATATACTGATTTCCTTCTCATAACAATTGTGAAACTTCATCATTATCCCATCCCAAGTCATCACATACGGAATTATTTTGGTCCTGCATTTTATCGCTGCCCCGAGTTTAATAACCAGTAAATTGTACTTTCGCTTCTTGTCTTGACTGCTATCAACCTGTCCTGACCTGCCAACCTCTATAAGGAGTACTTCCTGTTACTTCTTATGGTGTACCAGGATGTCCGGTCGATCCGCTCTTATTCTAATTGCAGACTTATTCACGTGTCGACTCTGAATTTCACGTTCTCATTAGCAAACTATTTTCTGAACGGAATAGCCTTGCATGTGTGAGAATGCTTCAAGACCATACTTTTTGCAGAGTCTTAAATTGTGAGGCCTTATTCTAGTATAGTCATGATATAACATTTTCTCCTACTTTGGTTGCTAGAATGCTCCACCATCTTCACACGTTGTTCACAATGTGTGCACATAATTTTCTCAGCTCCAAACATATTTCTATCTTTGAGGTGTATCGCGCTTCATTCTGTGGGGTAATATTTCCGAGTTTGAGAAATCAAGTAATACACATCACGAATCATTATATATTTATATCATGTACAGCAGATCAGGTTAATCTTTTTTCTGTCTCAATTCTTCCGTTGGATCATGTTCCAGCACTCTCGACCGGTACTCTGTTCTGCTGGTTTTAGAACACTGCTCGAGTGCTTTCCATGATCTTCACCAAGCTTTTTGCAGCAACCTCACCTGCTTCCATTTGTTTTCATTTATAATTCCAGCTCGGCTTTTTACTGTCTCTCCTCCGTTTCCGGCTTTGTGACGGGATCATATGTGGTCAATACATATTGTGAATCATGGAATCATAATATGTATTACTTGATCGATGGGAACTGTTACATTATATATCGCCTACGGCTCAAGTAATCAATTAGTTCATTACTTGATTTATCAAACCACTTCACTGTCGTCTTTTTTGAACTCAGCTACCCTTCTGGAAGTGATGTACACAGTTGCCTATCTAAGAAGCGTATAGTGCTAACACTGAAGTGGGGATTAGCTTTATTTTTGCATTATATGGATTAATTGATTATACGCGAAGTTAAATTCGAATTGAGAATAAATTTTAGCTGTTCAAGATTAAAGTTTCCTCAGTCATAAATTACATGTTAAAAAGTAGTTGTACTGGAAATAAGACACTTTTTATGCAATACTTTTGTCAAATATTTCGTTTACAGTATCAGGAACGAGCAGCTCAAAACATTCTGCGTTCCAGTGACGTACGTGATGAGCGTGCGATGAGACAACCAACAAATAGCCATCACTCAACATTTTCTCGCTTTCAGTCCGCTTGGAGTTTGTCTTTATCGAGTAATAATGAAATCAAGAAGTATACGAAAGGAGCAAGTACTCATTTGCATTTGAAAAGGCAATTTGTCAAAGGAGCGCAGGCAGGAGAAGACTGCAGAGACCGACGTGAACGGCAGTCATCTGTCCAGCAGGCGCAGCAAGGAATCTATGATTATAAGGGAAATTATGAAAGCCAAAATCCTCGGAAAGGTTTACTCTTTGTGTTTTGTATGTCCATGCCGTTTCTTTCATTCCTTGTTAATATAATTGGTAGTACTGTAAATAAGTTAAGTATCTTACGTTTCTGTCTCTTTCTGTAATGTGAACGCTGCAATTTATCTGATAAACATGAATACTATATCTTGATCTTTATATAACGAGTCAGTGCCCGGAAAAAAAGTAAAAAAATGTGCGTTTGTTGTATAAATAATCATAAGCATATTATTCGTAATACTTTTTTAATTGTTTAGAAGCTGAGAAAATAAGTGAAAATGCTAGCAATAAAACGTCATCACCAACTTTGTCGGATCGAACTAGAACATACGCAGACATAACAAAACATATGGACGTAATGGTACTGATTGGTGAAGTTCAAAAGGGTCAGAAGGAACAAATAACGCAGAGCACGCGACAGTTGGACAGTTGGTTCCTTTTTTCTGAAACAGAACTGAAGTTGTAAAATCACGTCTAGTGATGGTAGTAAAACTACAGAAATTAAGTGTGAGACTTATGAAAGACGTTTTATGCTGTCTAGAGGAGTTTATTAAGTCTTCATTTCGTCAAATAATTCCTTTTTGCGTTTTGAGGACCACTTTTAACGATGAAAGAATTGGAGAAATTTACTAGTGCTGATAAGGCTATTTCGAAATCGTACGCGGATATGGCGAGAAAAAGTACAGTTGAAGCGGACAAATTTCAAAGCAAAACGTTAGTTCTCTTCAAATTTTAATGTGTTGCCAAAGAAGACAGATTCTCTTGAAATACAAACTTAGGATTCCTTTTATCTCAAAATTTTATTCTAAGGAGCAACTAGGGATTTCCAGTATAATATTCACATGGGTTTAGCTTCAGATTAGATCAAAATCAAATTCGCTGCGATCAGTCTTGAAAAGTAGCAGCAAGAGGTATTTCATGCTATCGATTGTTTGCGTAAAAGATGCTAAGATAAATAAGTGAATAAATGAGGTCATCCATATGTATGTAATCAACTCTGCCGTCAATTAATTATCCCATTGCGTTATTCACTTAGATAAACTTTTTCTGAGAGTTGAATTTACGCAGCTCTTAGCGCAGCTCATACAGAGTGACAGAATGGAATGAAAAAGTGTTCACTTTTGTTACTTCCAATAACTATTCATGACAGCTGGATAACTTCAGAAAATCAAACTATTGTTAGCTGGAATTTCAACGTGTACAATACGTGCTGTCATTGAAGGATCTGCTTGCAGTTACTTGAAAATCTTCAAAGTTTGTCGATTATGGAAGAAATTATAGACTGTTGCAACTTATGGTTTATTTGATTGCTTAATGAGTTGTGTGTGAATTAATGCTCATACATGATAAATTTTGTGCATTTCTGTTTCAAACGCGAAGATGTGTTTTGCAGAATATTTCAGTCAATACTATGATTTTGAGGAGACAAAACATGTATGTTGCTTACCTATCGTACTTAATAATACGAGTTTACTGTAAAATCGTCACTGAAATTTTACCTTAGCGAATACTTGCATTAAGTTTTTTTGATTAGTCCAATCGTAACCAATGGTCCCTTACGATATGCTCAAACATAATTGGCTGTGAAATAACTTTGACTGTATTTCAATAAGATTGATTGCATAACTGATATTGATAAGCGCTGTGTATAGATCAGTAAAATGTAAAATGTAAATAAGTTAGTAATCCTATTTGGTAGATCAAATGAAGTCACTTTGCTTGCTTTGATCTCAACCAATTCTGGTGGTCGGTTAGATTTTATTTGCATTTTTTCACGTAATAATACAAAGTTAGAATTTGTCTGCGTCTGTTCACTTTTTGTTGCGTAAACTGCTAGCACAGCATAAAATCAAAAGGATATTCAAACTTTTAAATTGCTTCCGTTCTACGTTATTTGCTCATTGAAGAATACTCCCTTCTTACGTTACTTTCAATGGGTTTTTTTTTGAAAGATCAGAAATTGTATGTCTGAAACCGTTCATTCAATATGAGAATGATGCTTCGGCATATCACTGTCAAAAATGTTCTGCTATAATACTATCTATTTCTGATTATTGCATTTTGACTTTATTGCTTACTATTTAATTTCTGTCTTCTAAATAGAAGTTATCCCTTATTGCATATCTGATGTATTTAGAGTTAATGAATGAATAAAATCGCAAAATATTATTTATTGCTTACCAACTTGCAATAACATCAGTTTACACGAACAAAGAAATTTCCATTTTCGGAAAGTTGCAAAGAATGTATCAACTAAAATTTTGGTTTGAGTGACGACTTCGAGTAAAAAAAGTGAATCAAAAATCGCTCGCTTTCATGAATAATAAAACTGATCTTTTGAATTATTAGTAAAAAACTATTTAACGGATTATAGGTATATCATAATTACATTTGCTTAAGCCACAATTTCCGATTGATTGGCATTACTGTTTCTGAAAAAAAATTTGCTGAATGCGACTAACGTTTTATTTTTTTAAGAGCTGGAGGAAACTTCCGTCAATTTGAAATGTAAATATTTGTTATTGAGATATTTCTTAAGAACTTTTTTAAGAATTAGCCACGAGAAGACCTTCCTTACTTGAAATAAGACTGTTAAGGTTTTCTGGTGATTAAACAACGATTTTACTATATTTCCTTCCTCATTTACGTTGCATGTGGCGTCCTTTAACTTTAATGATGATAAATTCATACTGTTGCTTTGTGTTAAATTCATTTGATAATTTTACGTGAATTGTTTCTGCTCAACTTTATAAGAATTTAACCGCAAGTTTCAGTTTTAATATTACTTTAACAAGAGTGGTTTTTCCGGAAAGCAAAAGCGATCATTTTGCTACGTTATCAAACTGTCATGTTATTTTCATATAAACTTCGAAATCAGAGTAGGTTGAAGCAAGCTACATCTTGACATAATTCAGTAAAGTTCAATGCGAGTTAAATCAATCAATAATAAAGATAAATTTAAATTTACTTCAAAAACAATTTATCTAAAACCTCAAGTTCATAAGATTTGTCTTCATTCTGGCAAAATTTTTTTGAACTTTTTTTTTGTGCCTTTATCATAATTTTTAGCTCTTCGATACAAGAATATTAATTTTTTTCAAAGCAAGCTGAAGGTAACTGCAATATGTAAAAAATATATCAGCCAAAATCCTGCTTGAGAGCCAATTTTAAGCCCAAGAAGTTGTAAATTGAAAAATGTTTGGTGCATCAAAGGATAAGTATCAATTATATTTATAATAGTAAAATCAATATCAGCAATTTTACTTAAATTGAGCAGCAGTAACAATAATATAACATTAGGATGAAGAAATATTAGTTGCTAAGTTAACACGAGAAAGCAGTTTACGTGACCGTCAAGTGGTACTTTAAGAAGAATAACTCACGTCCACTTCCCACTGTTGAATTCTATCTTAAGAATAATATTTAGCCTTTCTGAGTGGTTATTTGATCAAATACTTGAGGTCAATTCAGTCTGCCATTTAGTCTATATCTATCGTTGACTAGCACTCAGTGGTAACTTTATACTTTGTTATCTTACAAAAGGGATTACTTAGCAAAGCTATATTCTTTTTCTTTTGCACGATAAGCAATGCATAGCAAACAGTATAATTTTCACTCCACTTAATCTTAAATGTCCACAAATTGTGTGGCAAATAAAAGAGCGTTTAGATTATTCACAGAATACGAAATTAATGTCTGGCAAGGTAACACTGCTGAGATGCTGCTGACTGCAACAACTATTCTAATCTTTCACTTAGGTAATCAGTCTACTTGTTCAATCAGTTAGCTATTTTATGAACAATATTAATTACTCTAACAGTCATCAAGTACTTAGCCTTTAATTTTTGGATAACTTTAAAAGTAAATGGATTGTTCGTCCTTTGCGCGGAATTGAACTTCGATTATTAAATATTTGACTGGTCTTTTTCTTTACTTAATTTATCGCTAAACTTTTAAAGTCTCTCATTTTCATTCATGTATTTGGAGGTTTCACAAAAGCTGTCCCAGTTTGCATTATTGGTAGTTCATGTGATCAGTGCAACATAACAATTGTTGGCCAAAAATGCCACAAAAATCAACAATATGAACATTTGTACTGCAATGCAACCAACAAGTGTGTAGCTTTTGCTTTAAATATGAAAAATCACTTCATCTCTTAGCGTATATGAAACTTAAGGCATAAAGTCATTCATATTTATCATTTAAAAAATTTATCAATTACTTAACCAAAATAGTAACTTTAATTTTGCTTTTAATTAATTAAGCACATATTTTGTGATCATTTTACTTGAATAATTTTGCAATTTCAGAGACAAAAAAAGTAGAACTCAGAGTTTGTACTTTATTTTATTTTTGATTTATTTCAACTTGAGTTGGAATCAAAATAAAATACAAACTGATTTTTAATAAATACTTTAAGTATTAATTGATATGTAATGTATTGTGAAACTAGTGGTGGAATGCAAACTGAAATTTAAGATAAAAGTTTTTAGATGATTATTAATTTTAATTATTCCATTTTATACATTTTCAAATTTTAGTAAAATCAGTGCTTATGCAAATTCATATTTGATCTGTGATGTACGAACAGAAGAATTCATGGTCAAGTTTTGTGCGCTTCACGAAAATTTCGTTAATGGGAGTTGTAAAATTATGCATCGACGCACTAAACGAGATGTCACGTTCAATGCTGGGTCAGGACATGCTGGCGATCGTTGCTCATTTGATCGAGATTGCTTCAATGTTTGATCTTATCAACTATCTGTCTTTTCCATTTGAAATTATAACAATTTAAATCTGAAATTTAAATAATTTAAGCCCTAATTTCTAAATCATATTCATATTTAAATGTTCATCTTCAAGCCTTTTCTGTACAAATTTATCATTTCTTTTTGTCAAATATTTATTCTAGCGATGAGATATCTATTTTAGTTTGAGCTTGCAAAACAATTTGTCAGAGTGAAAATTATTGTCTACGACTTTTCTTTAAAAAGCGTTTTGCTTCTTCAGGAGACCTCACAAAGTTTAAGAAAATATTGAGTTCTTTGATATGAAAACAGCTTAACCTATAAGTTTTCTCTCTTTCAAGCAAGTCTATGCTTAAACATTTGTGATAACTGCAGAAAAAAAGACTATGTTAATAGAAAATCTGTTTTGCTTCGGATGATTTGTTGGGAAAATTGAATTATTTTAAGTAGGTGAAATGTTTCAGCACTTTTATTCCTTAATATTTAAAATATTGTATGATGGACTGATTCTTCATTCAGCTCAAAATAACTTTGCAAAATGCAGCTGATTAGGTGATATTTAATAGGAACCTTTGCTCCCTGAATGTAAACATTTGATTGGAACAAAATAGTAATAATAACGAGTTAAAGCTGTTGAAGGAATGAATATTTTCAGGGTATGTTTTGTGCGAATAAAATTTGCACGTGCTTGGACAATTATGTCGCTATTCATGGATTCTGCTATCTAAGTATGCTATACAAGTTCTAGTTTTGCTGACTTATCAAATTCAAATCAATGAATTCTTAATTTTTTTCATTTCATGTTTGGAACATGTCAGTTATTGAATGTTTTAATGTTAGAGGATCGTATTCATTAAAAATTAATCAAACAGCATGCTTTTAACATTTTGGGGTATTTTTAAATATTTATTTCCATTTAAAATAAATTCAACATTTTTCATTGCTATATAATGAAAGTTTCTGAAATGCAGAGAAAAATATCGGTGAAAGCGGTTGTCAGTACTCGGAGCAGTGTAGTGCTGTTTGGCCTGAAGCACGGTGTGAAAATAATATATGTGAGTGTCCACGTGATATTAACGGGATCCCATACGTACAAGCACGCACACGGGACGGTTTAGTGTGTATATTAAAATCGGGTGAGAAAGGAGATCCAGTACCCAAATGTCCTCTACCGGAGTATGATGAAGATTTGTTGGCTATGCCTGTATCTCAACTGCGAAACCCGGCTGTGATGGACACGAATGACTCAGATGTGTGTTTAATAATAATTAGTACTGAAAATTTATTTCACCAAATTTGTTCCTTTGAATAAGTTTCCACTACAACTTTTTGCTTTTTGTTTGAATACACGTGCAATATAGTTTGACTGAATTTTTAAGATTATACCTGGCCAACATATCAATTCATTGCAATTTTGTTCCACCACTTCAACAGATTACCATACTTTCGTGGCAAATGGCGGTGGTGCGTGCACGTACGCTAGAGAGCCGTTTACAGCTGAAAATGGAATTAATGTAGCAGATATCTATGATTGCATAGGAGTTCCCTTAAATGACATGAAATCATCCTTGAAAGGGATGTACAACATTCATTTTAAAGCAGATGGGATATGTTGCCCCAATCGAGGTGAAGTAAAACGATTTCTTTGATTTTAGATATTTCAAAATGTTTGCAATTCAAAAAAATTAGTGATATTTTTACGCAAATTCAAAAGCAATACAAAAATTCGCAGAAATATTTCTCTAAAAAACTATAGCAGTGATGTCAATATTAAGTCTAAAAGCTTCCTATCTGGAAAATTGAAGTTTATTTAATTTTACAAAAAATATTTTCCATTTTATAGCTTTCACTTGCATACAACCAAAACGTGAAGTAGATTCGAGTAAACCGACATCAGATGATGCACGACCTCGTTGGTGGTTCAATTCGATTACGGAAACGTGCGAAGAATTTTTGTGGGATCCATGGGACGAAAGTGAAGTACAGTCACCAAATAATTTTAAGACGCGTGAACATTGCGAGTCATATTGCAAAAATAGTCAGTAAATTTATTGTTCATTTGATACTTGAACTAAAACAATAAAAATTTAATATTCAGTTGCAAATTTCAAACTTGAAATCAAAACATAACTGCGACTGAATTAATTTAAAAAACTGAATAACACAGTTTTTTTTTCTAATCGAAAAAGTTAGCAAGTTTGTAAAAACTGATTTCAAAGTCAGTCATTCCTGCCTAACAATTAGATTTATAGTAATTTATTAATCTCCACAAAATCTAAAAAACTGCCTAACAATTAAATTTGTAGTAATTTATTATTCTCCACAAAATCTAAAAAAAATTATAATTCACATTGAGTGCGTAAGAATCTTGCTTTGATTTTTAAAAACAAATTGGCCATCAGTTTTTTGCTGTTATTTTAATTGACAATGTTCACGGCTAAAATAATTGAATTTGAGCTTGCAAACGTGGCTCTCCACAATATTCTACTGAAGATATAGCTAAAAACGATGGTGACTTGATCACAGATTGCCGAACAGTCAATCAGTGTTCAGATGATTTTGACTGTATTTCATTGGGGTCAGCGCAACTTTGCTGTCCGACCACTGCAAGCATCTGTAGTATTGCTGGTGGACGACCATTTGACCCTTTTCGTCATACCAACTTTGATCCTGGCTACAGTATTAAAAGGTCAATTGAATAATTATTGAGTGAAATTTGTTTGAGTACTATATAAACAAAAATAACTGTATGAAAATGCACAATTCTTTAAATTAAAAGTTTATGAGATTTTTCTCATCTTCTTAGTTCAATGTATGATTTTTTAAAGCCTGAAGTTTCGCTACATTTATTAAAGTGAAAGTGATCCTTCTCGATATCAGATTCTAAAAAAGTATTAAATTTTAATTTATAAGTAGTTAATTTTTTGACACGTGCATTTTAAAAATTCATTCTTAAAGATCTAAAAGTTGAATCTGCTTACGAAATTTATTTGCAGTCGAAATCACTTTCGAAGGATATCTTTACTTTCAAATCAAAATATTTCGAAAGCAATTCTTTTTATTGTGCTTCTATCAGAAAATTATTTAAACCAGATGAACACCCAATTTTTTAATTTGTAGATCAGAAATAATTACTAGGAGAAAATATTTTAGACTCATTTAGCAAAAAGGTTATAATTAGATATTTCAATAGCAAAGGTATTCAATTTTACAGCAAGTCCGATTTGAACTTTGAACCTTCAATTCGTTATTACTACGATTCCGAACAGAAGCAATGCATGCCTTTTACTTATAAAGGCATTTTGGGGAATTTCAACAATTTTAAATCGTCATCTGACTGTGAATCATTCTGCGCTAAACTTCAGTGCCCAGTAGGTACAGCTCTAAAACTTGCAGAGACTGATCAGCGGTGCACTGATGATAGTGACTGCCCGAAGAGTCATGCCTGTTATGTTAATAAGCATGTTTGCTGTCCAAGCCCACGTTAGTTTTACTGAGAATTTATTTAGTGGCGTGGAATTTTAAACAGAACGCAAAAAATAATGAATTTAAAATGATTATTTGAAGTAATTTAATATTATCTTGAAATGATTCTAAAAATGATCAGATCTTAGACACTCTAAATCAATATTTCAGGAAATAATGAGAAAGTAAGTGAGCAGTACAAAATTGCTGAAACTGAGTTCATGATAATAATTTCTGTTACATGAAAAGCACAAATTTGCACGCAATGTCAAATCAAAAAATAATGACTGCTCTAAAATCGCATAAATTCGCATATTGTTATGAATAATTATAAATAATAATTTGAAGAAACAATGTGCTCTCAGCCATTGCTACTTGGTGACTGTAAACAGCACATTCAACGATACTGGTATAATGCGAAGACAGGAAGGTGCGAACTGTTTAAATATTCAGGGTGTCATGGTAATGATAATAACTTTGAAACGCTGGTGGAATGTCAGAAGACGTGTAGAAATGTTACACGTAACAGTTTATTATTTATTTTATTGTAATTGTAATTACTATTTTCATCTTGGATGTAAGTAATTTGTAGATAAAAATTAAATTTATTAAAGACTCTAAAAAGAACAAAATTAAGACGTTCAGTTGCTTACGTTTTTATACCACTCCATTCACTTTACATTATCCTGCGCCAAAATTAGATAAAGAAACTTAATTTTACCCCAATTTCTTGATTTCTGATTTGTAATCTGCTCTGAGAAGTTCTATTCCGATCGAATTTAGTTTAGCACAATCACATTATAAGTTTACCTTGATGCTGTTGAAAGATTTCCGACATTACGTTTCGAAAAAAAGTAACTTATTTGATTTAAGTTAATTACATCAGCTTATTCAATTAATTTTAACTGAAACAAATGCTTAGTTCAATCTAATTGCATTTCCCTGCTTTCAATTACCTTATTTTACCAAAAAACTTTATATTTTATAAATAAAAATAAATCTATTTTGAAATGCTCAAGTAAGCTTTTCTAAAAATATATCGTCGCGATATTTTTCAGCCGCACCACGGTGTCCACAAGGAGATGCTGCTCGAGATGTTCGGGGCTATTACCATATTTGCTCTTCCTTTGATGCAATAAATAATTGTCCAGACCACTATGAATGCTACTTTGACGGTGACATATGGGGTTGTTGTCCAAATAAACAATACACCTGTTCACTCTCGTCTGATAAAGGTGTCACATGTGATGTTGCACCAGCCTACCGCTTTTTTTACAATACTCAAACTCATGATTGCGAAGCTTTCCAATACAACGGCAAGTATTCATTTCTGCATTTCGGTTTTTTTCAATATTCACTTCTTAACTGACTATTTAGTTTTCCAATAATTCAAAGGAATGGTTTTACTTTTAAAAAATGACTTTTCAAGCAGTAAGCTGTTCAACAGATTTTCAGGTTGTGATGGAAATTCCAATAACTTTGCTTCTCGTCAAGACTGTGAGAGGTATTGTGGTGTTGCTCATTGTCCATTTGGTGGTACTCCAAGAAAAGATGATACAGATCAACTAGTGAATTGCTCATCTGTGGTGCCCTGTCCGAATAGCTATGAATGCACTTCAATCATTCTAGAAAATAATGTTGTGAACCGATGCTGTCCCACAAGAGGTCACATTTTTTGCTGAAAGAAGAGAAAAATGACTTTCTAAAAATGAATTTTCAAAAACTATTTATTCATGGATGAAACAAACCAAGTAGAAAAATAGTTGCACTGTTCATGACCACACCAAAATCTAACAATAATTAGAATAATAACAATCAATAATTCAATAGTAGTATAATAAATAATAATAATAAACAATAATAACAGTAATGAGATGATTGCTTTATTCATTATTCTGATTAATTCGGTAGTTACAGTTTAGCTAGCAATGAGACATACGTTTCACGAGATTATTACTGCAAGGCATCAAATTTAGTCGAAAATACTTCTTACCTGCCAATTAATGGAATTTTTTCTTTAAATCTATTGATTCCTGCCATATTTAATTAAAATTTATACCTTTTGTTAGATTCTACTCGAACATTTCAAAAATACTTTTTATTACTGAATGAAACTAATAACGAAGGGATAGATTTTGAATTTGCATTTTATTAAAAAGATTAGATGGAAATAATTATGCTAGAATCTGAAAAAAGTGATGAGTTACTAAATAAAGTTGCAGTTTTAAGTCTGAGCTAAGTTCAATGATTTCATTGACAAAATCACTTTGTTAGCAAGTTAAAGTAGATGTTACAAATCAAAGTCCAAAAGTAAGTATTTCAGCTCTAATTTGTTCATTGCCTCCTCAGCAAGGTGATGTTTGCGCTGGCAAATTACCTGTCTCGCATTACTATTTTGATGCCGTTCTCAAGAACTGTGTTAAATTCACTTTCAATGGTTGCAACGGTAATCTAAATAATTTTGCCACTTTGGAACAATGCGTTAACATTTGCATATTATCCGCTTGTTCTTCTGGTCATGTTGTTCACGTGAATTCAACTTCACATATGCCAGCAGAATGCAAAATCGGACTCAGCAGTACCTGTCCTGATGGTTTCGAATGCATTTCTGATCCATTTTCTGATAGAAGCATATGTTGTGGAGCAAAAGATACGGGTGGGTAATTGATTACTTGTCTTTTTATCGATTCCTGAAAACGATTTATTTCATTAATTTATTCTTAAAAAATAATGGTTACGTACTTTATTCTTAAATATATTCTTGCATTCACCTTACTGCTTTTAAAGTTCCCATTGTTGAACAAATTACTCGATTTTCCGATTTGCTTAAATTTTCTGCTAAAAAATATCATCTGATAAACTCAAAATTTCATTCATTAGTACTGTGCACAGAACCATTCACCTGTAAGGCTTTGTTCAAGAAACTACTCAAACTACTATGTTTATGAATCATGTAAAGTTACAAAATTCAGTGATATTTCTTCTCAGCAGAAGTTAGTTGCAGATATTTTAAATCCAATATTTATTGGATTAAATTAGTCTCAACCAGCCATCAAATAATAACCAAACTGGACTGCCAAGTATTTCTATTCAAAGAATGATCAAATATTAGAAAGTCTTACAGCTAAAGGTGAAAAGGAACAAAATACCTACATGCAGTGGACTTTAATTTTCCTAAATGTCCGTCATGTAATACCGACTCTTCAAATAATTTGAAGAGTCGGTATTACATGACGGACATTATTTAGGCCGTGATTCTGAAACAAATTTTGATTCTTAAGCAAATCGCTATTACTGTTGTCCATCTGTGAGTGAAAGTAACACATGTCGAAGTTTTAAGCTAATCATTATCATATGAGCTCATGTTAGTGCTTTGCTGAGATCAAAACATACAAACTGCTTACTGAATTATAATCGTAGGAGAAACTCTATGCTTTCAACTCAGAAAAAACAAAGATATAATAGCAGGATGAAATTTGTTATTAAGTCAAAAATAACTTGCATGACATTTCTATTATGAACTTTAACCTTGTGATAAAATACCTGTATGCATCTGCTATAGAAGTGTGTCCAAAAAGTGCAGTAGTTTACAAGGAACCATCGACTGGGTCAGCAGTTCGTTGCGCGATAAGTAATGGGAACGAGCAATGTCCTTTAGGATTTCACTGCAAATCACAAGTTCGAGGAGCTTTGCAAGTAATTTTCATCTTTTATCAAGTCTTCAATTTAAGGCGAAGTAATCAGGTGGCTCCATGAAAAAGCATTTAATGATAGTAAAAAAGAGAAAAATTTAAGACAGGACATTCTGCACTACAAATTACTGTGAAAGAATTGTTTAGCTAGCAAAATTTATAATACAATGCAGGAAAATGAGACTAAATGTGTAAGATAATTTTCTCACCCATTTGTTAATTTGCTTGTCTTAATTAATCCATGCTAGTTTGTTTTTTTCGGTTTTCATCATGCTCATTTTCATTCAATTTTACTTTATTCCATATTTGATCAACTATTACTTTAAGAAGCTCATAAATAGGAAGTCATTGATACTTCAAAAATTTTACTTTCAAAGATTAGATTAGAATTCTGAAATTCGTGGCTGCTTCATTACTTGCTGTTGTGGTTCTCTATTAGTGATATATCCTGAATTCTGATCATATTAAAACGAAAGGTCTCAGTAATTTGCAGTCGATATTTGGTCCAAGTTTGAAGTATTGTCCAAAGCATTTCGATCATAACATGTAATTATTGTTATATTACTTTTCAGGGCTACTGTTGTTCTTCAAATAACATTTGTCCAAATAATTCAGAAGTTTACATCGAAAAAAGTAGTCACTTGCCTCGTACCTGCACGATCGCATCATCTTACTCATGTCCAGCTGGTTATGTGTGTGAGAATTCTGGAACTGGGTCTTCAAGTGGATACTGCTGCAAAAATGAGAACAAAACAGTCTTTGGTAGATATCAAATTAACTTACGCAAAACTTTAGTCTGGAAAGTGCTAAATTGTATACAAATTTGAGATGAAAACTAAGCTAACGTTACTTATTTCAAATGTAACATTGGAAGTTAATGTATGATATTTTCAGTATGAATACGATTATGACTGCCTATAGTTATCATAATACTTTGAAAATAGAATATTTTTGAACTAAAAAATCCATTAATATTACTTCAATTCAGTTCAATACTTGCAAATTAGTTGGATGATTGACTTAAAAAACTACGGTTGACGTTGATTACGATTTCCCGGCTACAATTCAATATGTTACTTGATTAATATTTAATTCTACTTGAAAGAAACTTAAAATTGTTCAAATACAACTTGTAAAATAGTATTTTTCATAGATGAAATTGAATTGTCTGGAGTGAGTGAGAAAGCAATTTAATTTTCCTTATTAGTGAGAAATTTCCTTATTATTATGACAAGAAGTTCTTGTAAAATCAAGCGACAAGCATTTAAATTAGTGATTCTGATACTTTAAATCAGAAATGACAGCAGTCAATGTCAGGAAATTTAACATGAATACTGACAGGGAATGCAGATGGCTGTCCACCAAATCAACACGTTTTTTCAACGCAAGATAATTATATAATGTACTGTGATAAATTCGACCCATTGAACTCAACTTGTCCATTAGGATATTCTTGTCAGTGGTCTGTGTATAAACAACGCTATCAGTGCTGCGGCACAAAATTGATGTCAGCATCAAAATGTGAGTCAGCATTTCTAATCAGTCCTACAATAGTAATTATAATAACGATTGCAACAGACCATGATCATGAAAATGCAAAAAATATATTTGGAATTGGTAGTTCGTTCGTGCCATGGGATTTCAGTAATAATTTAGCATATATTACAAAGGAAATTGATAAAATTAATATGCTAAATTTTATAATTCTACTTATGCATTATTATCTTTCTGCTACGCAGTCTTTTGTACTATTCAGTATCGTAATCACTTCCAGATGTCAAAGGCATCTAGAATGAACAGCAGTCACAAGATCTAAGATCTAAATGTCAAAATAATTAATAACTCAAATCTTTAAAAGTTAATTATTTAGAAACGATAACGCAGTAAATGCTTACTTATAATATGAAATGAGTAATAATTTGAAAAAAAAATTTAACTTTCAGTATCGTCGTTCGGTTGTCCCGGAAATCAAGTGGCATATCGAAATCCAATTACAGATAGTTTACAAGTTTGCACGGTATCAGCTGACGATTGTCCAATCGGATTTTCTTGCCAGTTTTCTGCAACAAATGGGCAGTTTCAATGCTGTGGCATTGGCGCTGATTGCCCACGTGATCAAGTGAGCTTTTTTGAAGTTCATAAGTCGTGGTAATTAAAATTAGTCCAATTTTGATAATTCTTTTGTTTTAATTTGAAGGTTGCATTCGTTGAAAGAAATGGTACAGGCAAGAGTTGCATACCTGATCGTATGACTTGTCCCAATGGATACAAATGTGAGAAAACATCTAGCGGCTCATATTTGTGTTGTACAAATGGATCAAGCATAGGTAGTGTGATTGAGCACTATAAAAAGAAACCAAACTATTACTGACTTCTAAAAATTTTAATTTACAAATCTTCAAGTCCAAATGTAGCAATAACAAGCACAAATATTAACAAAAATTTCAAGAGTTTGCTGCAGTATCTATAGTATTTTGTATATTATTGTTACAGTATGCAAAGCAAATCAAGTCCTTATCGGTGGGTTCTGCATGAACAGAATTAATATTGGATCGTTGTGTAATAATTCTAAACAATGCTTGGGTGGATCCAATTGCATCAATGGTAAATGTAAATGTCCGGATGGAATGAGCAGCGGGACCGGTCTATGCAAATTAGGCTAGCTTTAGTTTCTGCATATTGTGTGCTTATTTCAAAAAAAAATTCATGACAAGGATTTTAGCAAATTGGCGTAATAAAGTAATAAACTGATTCTTGAGGAAATGATTGGAATGAACTTGTTTAGATTTGCATGAAAGTGTACTATCGAAATATAAATAAAATCTTTTGGAATATTCAGGTTGCCAGGAGAAACAAGTGCTGATAGAGGGTGAATGTTTGGAACAGGTGGGTCCAGGTGACCTCTGTGTTGATGATAAACAGTGCCTGGCTAATTCAAAATGCAAACAAGGTATTTGCGAATGTCCCAAAACACATGTCCCCCGTAATGGAAAATGCGTAGCTAAGAAATCAAGCATTGCTGTAAAATGTCCAATCACAGGTCAGGCCCCGTACTATGAAAAAGGATCTAAAAAGGTTACTGCCACACATCTTTAAAATCAAAATTAAAACTCATCGTGTTGCTTCACTAACGTTTGCAACTTGCTACTTACTTTACTTCATTCACTTTTTCAACTTTACCACTTCTGATCCACACAAAAATAAAAGGTGCCAATCAAGACAGTAATACTCATGAACTGCAATTTATTGTCATTATATTTATTTTACTCATGAACTGAGTAAAATAAATATAATGACAATAAATTCAACCAGCATGTCCTATGATCATGCGTTATTGGCATCTCATTAATTTGACCCAAATGATCCGGAATTATTCTCTGACTTTACTTATTCCCTGAAAATACATCCCAGTTAGTGATTTAAGTTAGATGAACAAATAAATCAGTGATCCACAGAAATTCACTTTACACCGCTCTAAAAAACGCTTCATAAAAAAACGCTTGATTTGTTTCAGATTCGTTACTGCTCTTCGTTGGCAAAAAACTGCCCTAGAGGTTACAACTGTCAGTATAGCCGCAGTATTGAACGAAATATCTGCTGCGGACGTTCAGCAACTTTAAACAAAGTTAGGTCAACAAATATTCCGAAAAGAGCAGTAGCGTCTACTGATGTGTGTAATTATGGTACTCCATATATCTTGGAAGGGTTAGCCCAGACTTGTACTGTCAAGCCTTGCCCAATCGGCTTTCATTGTATATTTTCCAAAAAGACTCAAAATTACTATTGCTGCACTGTGAATATTAGAAAAGGTATGGGTTTCAATTTCCTAATATCAAAGAATAAATTTAAAAACGAAACAAATCTGTCTTTCAGAGCCAAATCAGTACTTTTTGATACTTGAAATCCAATTAAGATTTCAGGTAATGATGGTTGCCCATTCGGGAAAACTTTATTGTTCCCAGCCACTGGAACTCCAGTACAATGTAATATTAACAAACTGGAATCTTGTCCCCTTGGCTATCGTTGTGTAAGGAGTACTAGAAATACTGGGTATCAATGTTGTACCATTTCCCAACACTTCCAGGACGATATAAGCAATTTGACAGGTACCATGCATAAAATACCGTTCTTTGTAATATAAGAACAACAACATAATGGAGATTAAAGCGGTTATTCCATGAATGGAACTTAAGAAAAATGAAGATTTTCAAGTGCAATTTAGCAAAAACAGAGACATATGCATATTTTAGCATCGAAACATGCATTTCTTAATGGTCAGCCATGTAAAAATGACCAAGTTCAAGTGAAGACGTACATCAGTGGTAGACAAGTGCATAGTTGCGAGGTTCGCTGTCCTGACGACCAAATAGCTGTTGACAAAATTTGTGAGCACTCTATTTAACGTACTTGCATAAAATGGTAGTACACATTAGCATGAAATTTAAACCTGCAATAACCAATACTAGTTGTAGTGGCATATGACGATTAGACAAAGTTGCAAGACTTCGTTTCTGATAGCTACAAAACTCCTATCCTTCTTGATACCCAATAAAATTGGAAATTATTATTTTTGAAATAATCTACTTGACTGAGATTGCGGCTACATTTGTGTCCTCACTGCAATCTCAGTCAAGATTTGTGCTACATATATAATAACTTTCCATTTAATATTAACATGCTATGAATACCACGGCATACACGAAAGTATTGTAGTACTTTTAACCATCAACCGTGCATTCACTGAAAAAAGTATTGGCGTAGTCAATTACGTAACTTTCTGACATGTCAATAGCATGTTCAATTTATTGCAGTCGTTACTATGTTTGCGCATTTGGATAATCGTTATTCTAAAAATCCATTTGATAAATTTAGCTTTCATAAATGCAATTGAAATCTTTACTTTCTGTTGAAAATACTGCAGATTTCTTTCAAGCAAGCGAAAATAAGAGTTATAACATTAGTAACAAGATTTGGAAAAATAATAGTCGAAAACTACTGCAAAAGCGAACTCATTTTTCATTTTTAGAATCTAGGATTTGATATAGAGGATATTTTCGACACTTGAATGATAACTGATCCCTACTCAATGACAAATAGTTTTTACATGAATTGAAAACATTAGTACAGCTTATACTGATCTCGACGCGTATTTCAATGGAAGTGATTGGCTTCGATTTCTTTCAATTCATTGGTGCTAACAATTTAAATTGAACGCCTCTGAGTGATAGGAACAAATAATCTTCGCTTATTTTAAATACCCAGCAATATTAAAGCGTTTAATCAAAAACTATAAGGTAAAAAGGGGAGAACAGTTTGTGGTTAAAATTACAAGTATATACTGGTATAGCAAACCAGTAAACAAATAAGATAACCTGCATTATTGTCATTTTTTGTTCTCGTATGAGAAAGGGAGGCATTCTAAAATGAACTGCATGGCTAGCAATATCCTTTATGGATAAATTTCATACTTCATTCTTGAACTGGCAATAATTTGAAGAACAGATTTATAGTCAACTGACAATGTGTATTCATGGAATTTCTCACATTTTGATGCTACTTTAAAACCAATTTTTTGAAAAAACTTCTGACTAGCAGTATTATTTTCCGAAATTTTCACTTCAAATTTGCGTATCCCAATTACTTCTATTGCATATCTCAACATCATTCGAATTGCTTCACTACCAAAACCCATTCGGCGCCACACAGATTCAGCAATCATCGTGGTAAGCTCTCCAATCTCATCTCTTATGAAGATATTTACATCTCCAATCATGCTAATGATCTGAAATACTCAATGCCTGACCTTAATTGAAGATAGTACCCCCTGAAAATGAAAAAGCTACTTTTAATCAAACTATTAATGCTAAGTAGTTGAAGATATTAAACTTGGTTAATGACGACAGCAAAAAACTTGCTTCATCGCCACTACAATCAAGCAAACTGCGATTCAAAATAATAAATGTGCATTTGTCTTGATCACTTTGCCACTTCTGCTGCATTGTATACTCATCTTCAAGTGATAAACGCTCTGATGCTGTGAGACATCGCAACTCCTCATCCTAAATAACGTTACGATAAACTAAACACTATCAAATCTTTAATCCAAATTAATCTTTCAGTGGCCACAAAAGTTAATCAAACCTGCATCCACGCATGGTACTTGGCTACGTGGCCTTCTCGGTACGGTACCAAAATTATCTTATTGCCAATAAGTTTTGTATGCTCATTTACCCTCATGCTACCACTCCTTGCATCCCCCAGGTCACCTCAAATCCATCTTCTCCAAAATCATATATACAACAAACCCAGACAAACGTACGGTTGCTTTTCCGCTAGGACGCCCCGCGAAATGATGCCAAGGCCAACCGCGAGTTCCTAATGGCGGGAGCTAGAGAAGATAAGTGGGCAATAGTTTATTTTGAGAATTAATCATTTTGGCGACCTAATTTATTGGTATTATTAAGAAAGCGACTCGTAGTGAGCATTTTATTTTTTTTTCAAATATGTATTTTTTTGCTGCTTTGAAAAAAAAGTATTGTTCAGTTAAAATGCAAAATTTTGAAATTACTCCAGAGTGCAGCTCAGAACTGCGTAACATATCCCATGGATGAATTGGTAGAAGAACCGGACGAGGTTATGATGGGCACGTCCTTCACATTGCATGGTAGTTTTAAAGGTAATTTCAGCGGAAATATGTCTGTAGCTTACATTATCAAACTTATCTGTTTCTTATTGAGATTGTTTTGATCAGTTTTTTCAATGCTATTATATCCTCAGCCGCTGTTATAAGCTGTGGTTAAAATTTTTATTTGCCTTCAATGTTTGAAAAGTTAACTTTTAATTTATTCGCAACGAAGTTCAAGTTCATTGTGTTTTTTTCAAATCAAAAATTTCAGTATTTGCTCGAGCAGTTTTGGCATTGAATCGTGTTGGAAACGAGCTGTATATAGAACCAAGTGAATTTGGAGTCAGTTTAGTTTAATAGTGATTTTGTAAAACCTCAGTTTCATTTAAAAATCTTGTATGAGTACTTATGAAAGTGACTGTTAATGTTTTTCAGCTAACTCTTCGTTCACTGAATTGTTCGAAATCAGCTTTTGGTACTTTCATGTTTTCCAAAACATTCTTTAGTGAATGTGATGTAACACGATTGAATTCAAATGCGTCCAATACGTGTCGGATTTCAATGAAGGTTGCTTTTTATGCAATGCATTGTTTTTTATTTTGAAACTCTTTTGTAAAGGTATTGTACTTCATTGATATATCAGAACTTTCATGAATACTCATGTCGTTTTTGTTCTACCTCTTTTATTTTTGACTTATATATATGTATAAGTAAAAAATAAAAAATATATATAAGTTCTTTTCTTCATCATTGATTCTGGCACTGGGTAGTATTCTAAAATTTTCGCTGCACTCTCCTCGCGCTCAGTTCTGCTGTGCTGATCTCTACTGCTTTGTCCTCGTCCAATCCGCCAGCGCTGATCAAGTGGAATGCTTTCGAGCGTTTTTTGAGCACTATCAGTTGAATATGTGCCTCGACGTAATCAAATACACTGATTTCTTTTGCGTAACGATTGCGGAAGTTCGTCACTATCCTATTCTAAGTCATCACATATTATTTTTCGTCCTGCAATTCATCTCTACTCCAAGTTTAATATTCATAAAATCGTACTTTCGCATCTCGTCTTGGCTACTATCAATCTTTCTTGACCTATGATGCCAACCTCTATCAGGAGTACTTCGTGTTACTTCTTATTGTATACCAGATGTCCGGTCGATCTGCTCTTCTAATTGCAGTTCTTATTCGTGTGTTGACTCTGATTTTCACGTTCTCATTAGCGACAATTTTCTGAACGGATTAGCCTTGCATGTGTAAGAATATTTCAAGACCATACTTTTTGCAGAGTCCTAAATTGTAAGACCTCATTCTAGTATAGTCACGATATAACATTTTCTCCTACTTTTGATTGCTAGAATGCTCCACCATCATCACACGTTCTTCACAATGTGTGCACATACTTTTCTCAGCTCCAAACATATTTCTATCTTTGAGGTGATCGTATTGCGCTTTATCCTGCAGGGTAATATTTCCGAATCGTAGCCACATTGATGAATCTGACATTGAGGCTAGAAATGACCTAGCATGACGAATCTTTTTTTCTATTTTGCTACACAGGCGCGCTTTCTGGGCTTTCAATACGTTCTTGATGGTTGGATTTTCTATGACGTTGTACGTATGTGAAAGTAGCACACAATAACGGAGAAATACGTGTTGTAAGTCTTTTGTACTTCAAAATCGCCGCCCTTCTGGTAGATGTGGGTGTGGTTTTTATAAGTACTTTATGAAGTTTCGGGAGCATGAGCTCACTCCTCTTACCTTCGTCCGTTATTTCGTCTTCTTTAGCTTCAAGTACTGCAACGAAGAGTTGCATGAGCATCATCGTTATGGTCTGTTACTTCTTTTCGATTCTTGGAAGTCACTTGTAATTGCAAAGTTCTTCATAAAGCATTTGCAGCCATTAGATAACTGATCTGGTTAATTGCTGGAATGTTCTCTTGTATACTACCATTTCGTTGACTGTTGGTATCGTTACGTTTTGTTGCAACTGATCGCACTGTATTTCCGCCATTCACTTCCATTGTCGCATTATGACATCGCCATAACAGAAAGAAGAAAAGAATAGGAACCAGAAATAATGTGTTTATTTCAAGATTAGGCGCAGTCGATTGTCCACGATTACCTCAAAATGGGTAATGTAACCTAGTTTTTTTTTTCCAGAGCGCTTTGTCTGCCTTCAAATGTGTTAAGAACACTGAAAAAGCGGTACTTTTGTGTAAACTTTACCTTAACCCTTCAGCTGATGCCATGCTCATGGAACTCACTCATACATATGGTTAGTGCAGCCTTTATTTGTGTATGATAGATAGTATTTAAAGGCATCGTTTCTTTCTTTCAACATGCTGTCTATTGTGTGCTTTAAAAATGTTGAAATACAAGTAATCAAATTTAATTTATTTTTGAGTTAAGATTGCATTACTAAAAAGCAAATAATTTCACATTCTCCCTTCATTTCAGATGTTATACGACGGCACAGAGTACCATTTTATGAATGTAGTTCTAGGTTCCAAACAGTTGTCGATAAGGCAACTATGAGTAATTGTTTTATTATTCAAGCCAAGTAAGTTGATTTTTGTTTTAGTTTTAAATTCTGGCGCTAACTAAATTGTTGCCACTTTTGAAAAAAGCAGATTATTATTCAGATTTCTTATTGCAGAATATTGCTTGAGCTGTTCAATCGAATACATCATAGTACAGAAGAATTGTTAATCGATGCTAAAATGAGTGAAATATCTTTTAAGAATTATATCACAGATGAGCATGGTTTGCTTCTAACTCTTCAGTCCGATCTTTAATTGTCTTATTTGGAAAGGAATTATTTTTCTTTATTTATTCATTACTGAATACTGTTTCAAAGTCATTTTCTCGACGTCCTAACTATAGTTTGACTGCGAGTATAATTTCAACTTTAATAAAATTTAATTAGCATAATTTGAAAGTCCTCATAACTAGTCATGACAGCATACATTTTATAATTGCAAAAAACCATAAATTTATTAGGTATAAAATTTTAGAGAAAGATTTAGTAATGAAAACCGAAGGAAAAATCGCTATTGCTGATTTTCTAAAGTATAGCATCAAGCGATCGACTCAAGTTGTTGTGAGTTTGAGGGAACTTAAATCTATGGTAGTCTTTGCTGATATTCATCAGACACCAGTTAGTATATACTTCGATCAGCCAGGGAGGTGAGCTTAGAATACGTATTTTTGTATAAAGGTTAATCGAAGCGAAATTTAGTCCTTACGTTATCATCGTGAAATTCAAAAAACGTTGACAAAAGGGTTGATGAAGAAAAAAGTACAAATCTCTCTTGATTGCTTTATGAGAAAATTTTCAGACCTATTGTGGTAGCTCTGGAGGGTGATGTCAATTATACTGCTGAGGTAGTACTTGCAACAGTGATTGATGTTGCGGTTCCTTGTGGAAATATCGAGAATCCAGTCCAAATCATTCATATCCCCGAAAAAGAGCAACGGTGGTCAAAACGGAAGCGAGACCAGTCACCATTAAATTCACCTTTTTCACCGTTAGCATTTAATGGTGTTGAAAAAGAAAAAAAGCATAATGAACCTTCATCAGTAGCACAAATTAATGATGCAACTGAACGACAGAATGGAAAAAAAAATAAGGGTACTAGTGTTGGATTACCTCAAGCAACTTCATCTCCTGTCAGGTCTAAAATGATTTTTTATTGTACATTTACTGCTTCTAAAAGTGTTGCATAAATTAAAAGATTTAGAAACGAAAAGGTGGGCTTTTGATCTTAAATTTAATATTCCAAATTCAAGAATAAAGCACAATGTTTAGAAATATTACCGTCATGTGTTAGTTTTTTAGCTTTGTAATGACTTTTTTGTTTATAGGGATACACATGTTACTTACCAAGTAGAAAATGATTTAGTGGAGTGTAACGGAATTACAATGAATAATATCATTGTAAGCGAAGATAATATGCAGGAAATATGTGATACAGGTGATGATTCTGGTAGCACAGATGGTTGTAGGTCAGAAACTCCACCATCTAGAGGTCCAGCGGTTAGTTTTTTCTACAGAAACTATCAGTAAACGTTATTTTGTCTTACTAATTTTTTTACTCTAATTTGAAGTACCGCGTTGCTCTACTTTAAAATCACATGGTTTTAATGGAGGGAAGCGAAATTACTAACTTTGTTCTTTTCAGTTACTTCGCTATATATTTTCGTTAGATGAACCCACTCGTGATTCAGTAGATTTTCCTTCTGATGCAAAAGTTCTAGCTCCTGACTCGGACTCCGAAAGCTCTAGTCCAGGTTGTGAGTACATGTTTGATTTCGATCGTGATTATCTTGAAAATAAAAATGATTGAATTTATCTACGAATGTCATATTTTGCATCGTGCTAGAATAATCTCTCAAGATCTCAAATTATTCATAATATCCTAATATATTATCTTGAGTTTGAACATCTTACATTCGCATTTTGTTTACTTAAAATTTGATATATGTACAGTTTTCTATGATTTTTTGTTCTCCAAAATCTGCCTAACAGTAAATGTTCTCATAAGTTCTCTGTATGTAAAAATTAATATTTTTGCGATGTTCTTTGCTTTGTTTATTGTTTCTGTACACTTAATATAAATTTTTGCTTCCGCGTTATAGCGTTATACGATTGATCCTGTCATTATTTACTTCCATGTGATTTCATTAACTATTTTATTGTCAAGTTCACAGTTTCCTCTTCATCCTTACTAGTGAGAATGCCATAGTTCTGCGTAAGCAAAACACATCAGTTGCCATTAAAAAAAGCAGGTTATATTTGATTTTTATCATGAGTGGTTTTATTTTGATGGTTTCTTATAATGTTGCTAAATCGCTGCTACGGGATTAGAGGTTTGTAGAAAGTTTTTGAAAGCGAAAACCAAAGGTATTTGGATCTGCAAAAAGAAAAAAGTGGCACCTAACTGTACTAGTAGAGGCATTAATTATTATTGTGTCGCAACATCAGTTTGCTTTTTTGTCGTGCAGCAGGAAGTCTTGTCACTACTGCTAAGAAAGCAGAGAGTAAATATGCCGCTGAATATGACTGTTGAGAAAAATTACTAATATTTACTTTTTCGTCTAGCGACAGGGGAATTAGATTTGATAAAAAGTGGAAAGAAAATTGAGGGTAGCTGGGCACGCTTGAGAAAGTACACAGGTTCGAGCTGTATGCACTTGTATTAGTCTTCCAATTTTTTGCAGGAATGCATGTAAAAAATAAGGGATTTAAATAGCGTTTTTAAAGATTTTTATGCAAAAAATCGGTCGAGGTTGAATGCTGTGTAATACAGTAACATTCACATTATACACGGTTTGGAAAAGAACCTCAATTTGGAACATTAAATAATTTGCTAACAGGAGCAACAGAGTGTACATTAGAACATGACTGTGTAGAAAACTGGCTTCCTAGCAGGTACAGGGCGTACTTCGAAGCCATGCTCTGATGTGCTGGAAGAGATATTATCGTCTGACTGCCTGTTGTACAATTCACACATATCAGAGGAACCGCTCGTACAGGAGCACTCGAACATCTCATGCAAGTTGACTGGGTTGAACTTGCCGAAGATCGCTTCTTCATTACCTGCTGACAGTTCCTGCCTTATCATGGCTTCTTCTAACGCTGCAGCTGAAAGCGATTTAGACTGAGAGTCCAATCATCCGGATATTTCGTACATCTCTCTTATCTTCAGTTTGCTTTGATGTGTTCACTATCTGTCCTAACATCACTACGTAACATTGCGTCATCATAATAAGACTGCTAAACCATAATTGTCACCAGTTTACTTTTTATCTCTCATTCGCATCAACAACAACTTTTAATATTAATGCAAGGGTATGGTGAGAAGACTTATTCAAAACGCTTTCAACAAGCCACAAAGACCGCTACTTACGTTTGACCCAGTCAGGAAATTCTGAGTTTTCCTGAACAAAGTTAGAGTTGAAAAATTCTTTAGGATCAAATTGGCACTTCTTATTCAATTCTGCCTCAACTGCAACAGTAAGCGACCTGAATTATAAATTTGTTTACAGCAATTTTGAAAACTATGTTTGCTTATACCATACATGTTCTTGCCAATTCTATCATAAATTCTTAACAAAAAAACAATTTGTAATCAAGATATAAAAGTTTGTTAAGTTCGCAACCAAGATATAAAAGGTAATTACAATTAACCTTTCATCTTTCTGTTCATCCGAAACCTTCTGCATCATGCAATCTAAGAAATCTGTATTCAGCCTTTTCCCACTCCCTCCTTTTGCAGTTTTATTCTTCATATTGACATCGGCAGATTTGTTGGATTTGAAGACCAAAAAAGCTGATTCCGTTTCAGGTTTGTGTAAGTCATCATGTTCTTTAAAGGACTTAGACGAAAAACGTGAGCTTGGAAGCCCTTGCGTAATTATATTCTTGCTCGTTTCTGAAGATACACAGGATATTTCTCGCCAATCTGGTAACCATTTGGCTTTATTCCCAGTGAGTCGGACCACAGACTCTGTACACAAAGATGGAGTTGTGCATAAGACACTGTCGGTTTGAAAATAATCTGAACATTCATTCCAGTGTGTAAGTTGCACTTTGCTCTGTCTGAACGCATCCATAGTTTTATGTGGACCAGAGTTTGATGCCTCACTTATCTCAGTTGTTTCCTTGTTCGCATCTTTTTTGTTAACTATTTTTTCACATGTCCTGTCTTTTTTTGCTTCCTTTTTCATTTCTGCGTTTGTACTGAATTATGAAAATCAATTTGTTATTTCTAATCAACCTCATCCTTCAGAACCCAAACAATGACAAAGAAGAGATTGAAAGCTTTTGCATAAACAAAAAAAACCTGTCTAGGACTGTTTTTAAGCTTGAAGAAACAGTACAAATAAATTATCACAGTTAATACCGACAACAATAAAAGTTTGAATTGTGAAAGCTTTGATTGAAGTTTTGAATTGTCTTTTAAGGGACCTCCCTGAGCTAAAAAATTGAGTCAAGTGGTCCAGATAATTTTTTGCTTTCTAAAGCATACAAAACATACGGTCTTTTTGTTTCTATCCCTTTACTGCCAGCATTAAAGACAGTAGTACGACGGCTACCTCGAGCTACTGAATCGGTACTGTTGCCAACTTCAGCAGTTGATCTGGCGCCACTATTGCGAGTATTCTCCACAGAATTGATCAAATCCATGAATCTTGTTGTCCAGGGTTCGATGTTGATTTCCTTTACAGGAATTTCGTAGCCACTGAAAATGTATGTAATTGTCACACAAATGTCTACCGCACTTTAAAATCACACATAGATTTAGTGATTTACATTAGAAAAGTGCATAGAAAGAAATCAGATGAATTCATTTGAGCTGATCTATAATAATTTTTTTAAACCACTGATTAGAGTTCCTATCTATCATGCAAAATTGAACTACACATTCAAAAGCTTGATTAGTGGTTTAATATGTTAACAACGACTGTTATAAGAACAAGTACCATTCTTTCAAGATCTGCTCGCCCTTCTTCTGCTCCTCGTTAATCCATTGCTCATATGATCTTACATTTTCAACAAGTTGTGGGCTTATTACTTTGTGCACCACTCGATCTGTCATTTCGCCTAACAATTCTGCCAAATTCAGCCGCAAATTCTCTCCCTTTATCGTTACTTCAGTCTTCTTGCGATTCGACCTCGGCATGCTGCGCAACTGCTCACCAAGTCAACCGGCGCTTCCACTGACTTTTCAACCACGTTGCTTACATTATTATATGTATTTATGTCTCTCAACAGTCTAAAAAGGACTAAGTATGTTGTACTGCCCCCACTCTCACTGACGTACAAATTACTAAGTAAGCAATAATTGATTTTGTAATAGACCCATATGCTTAAATGTAAGTAATTTTGTCTAATTTATGCAACAGCCTTCAATCGTTACTGTTTGTGATGTTAGATAGTTTGCGGGTGCAGCCAGTATAGATTGCTCAACACACGCAACTAACGTTGAATATATGGTAGAAATAGAGCAACCAATGACGCGAATACTGAAGTCACACAGTCTTTTTATTATTGCTCAAATAAATTCAGAATGCTTTCAGTACAGTCAGAAGCAGACTGGTCTGAAGTTCTGTATTTAAATAAATTGCACTTCACATAGAATTAGCAGTTTAGATTTGTTGCTACCAAATTAGTCTCCATAGCATCAAGTCAGGTCATCGATAGTCTCCAAGTCAGGAAGAACGAATGGTGAAAATAGTGTAGAAACTAAATTTCACAGCGTTAGATTCATTGTATTTATACTATCAATACCTCAACTTTGAAGTATGTAAGTAACAAATAGTTTCTTAGCAACAACTGTATGAATGAAAATGCGCAAAATTGGTTTAAAAAGAATTTATCTTACTAAGTCCTTATGTACCATTTCACGGTTGAACAGTTCTCTTACTTGATGTTAATCACTAATAAAAATGGCATGCAAACTTCTATGTGCAAATCGAGAAAGCTGTGTTGCTTCAAATTCTTACTAATCGGAAGAAATATCTTCTGGTTCTGTTTTCAGCATTCCAGAGGTGAAGGTAAGTCGATTGAGTACCATTTATAAGTCATGATGATAAGAGTGAATGAAGATGACATGAAAAAAATTTACTGTAGATTTTATTTGCGTTGTTTCCTCCTTGCTCATTTCAGTTACAGTGTAATATATTGAGTTTATATTTTTATTGTGACATATTTTAGGTGCAGTATTGAATACATAATGCTCCTGTACCGGCTCATTTGGACTATTCTAGTTGCACATAACTAGATCAAATGCTCCAAACAAGATCATATTTGATCATAAATATCTGACTTATTGTGTGAATATCATATTTAGTCCTCGAGTTTGCTGATATTTACAGTTTACTTGAAAAGAGTGGAAAAATAAAAAACTTCCAGAAGGCAGGAGTTCACTATCGCAAGAATCTGAAAAGGTTTGCTCGCGTAATCAATAAAATTAAACACTCATAATTCATCATATCACTATTTACGATACTTTGATGCAATACAGAAATTTGATAATGTGCAGCTAAAGGATATTAAGAGGGGTGAAGGGGACAGGCTTTGATCAGAATGATAAACTAACTGCTTACTTTAGGAATGGCTGGTGGCACAGATTATAGGACATAGTGATAAAGGACATGGAAATATTTCACTCTCTAGTTTGCTTCATAAACTTCCAGCACTTCGTGTGACTCCCGTAGTAATTTCCATAAGGTCTGAGTGGTCCTTTAATCACATGAATCGTCTTTTCTTGTACAGTTTGTGCAAAAAGGGGTTTATTTTCGTGAATTTACCCATGTCTTTCTTGGATTCCTTGCATGCCACTTGCTGTTTCTTCGCTTGCTTTTCAGCTTATTATTCTTTTTTTTCATTTCGCAGATCAGTCATTCAGTGCAATTCTTCCTGCACGCATCGCTTCAAAGACAGTCACTTCAGTTTTTCTTATTTTCTCTGCTGTCTTTCTGTTAGCTCCGATGTGCTTTCTACTCCGTTATCTACACCACACTGACAATTCTGAAGGTGCAGAACACTACATCTTCACTGATATGGGCTAATCCATTGCATGTCATCGTGTAACTGCAGTATCGATTTTTATTAGCTACTAATCACAATTAAAAGCCTCCGATCCCTCTAAAATTATCATCACTTGTATGTTTGTTCGTTATGTAAGCAATTTGCATATTAATTTACACTGAAAAGCAAGAAAAGTGACTTCTCTATCCATCTCATAATTCTACAGTCTTTTAGTCATCAAGTAGATAAGTTCAGCAAATAATAAGACGTCAAAAGTGGAAATGAATGCACCAAAACAGCTAGCAACGTAACTTCCATTGTCGTTGCTACTATGTAGTGTAGTGAAGCATTACATTAGCGAATTTGCTATCACAACCAATGTTAACAATAAAAAATACAAATGCAAAAGAATAAGTATTTTTTTCGCTAAAATGATAGCTCAGTACGATGAATTATTGCTTTTATTGAAAAATTTGACACATAAAGCTGTTGGTTTTATGCAGTTAAAGCTGTTCAAGAGTACGTATTCAAGCAAGTACTGCTGAGCAAAAAATCTTCCGGCTTCTAAAGATTTGTAATTGAAATCTGGAACTCTTTGCTGAGTCACTTTTGTTTACTTCAGCGACTAACAGTAAATGATATTCTGCACTGATTACTGCAAAATCAACCACACATGACACTGTAATCAATTGTATGGAGTGGTTTGTTGCTCTAATTATCAAAAAAAGTGACTTGTGCACAGATGTTGAGTTCTGCGAGTATTTCAGCTGTTTGATACAAAAAGCAGCGGTTAAAAAAGTAGCGTTCTTGACAAATTATAAGAGTAAAGAGAACAGCAACTGGTATGGAACGTGTGGAATTCAGTCCATTTTGAGTGGACTATTTGCCAGTAGTGATGATAAACTTGAAGAGCAAACAAAGCAATGAAAAACTGATCTGGGAGGTAGTACATGTTATTTGAGAACAGTTTTCAACAGCACAACAAAATAAATTCTTCACGCATAACTGAGTAACTAACTGAATCAATTGGCGATTCCAAGCATAATTCCGTGTCAGAGTCAACAAATGACTCTGCGGATATTCTCTCACATACTCATATTATCTTTCCACGCTGGAACAAAGAGTTATTCATTGCACGTGAAAGCATAATTTGATTTCTATCAAATATGCTATTTTGTTTTTAGACAAATACACCTCAAATTTCTAAAACTTGCTCTTCTTCCAATTACTTCTGTTTTCATTTTTAATATGAAAGTTTTCATCAGTGAGTCTGGTACCAATTATTTGTTTTCACATATGGTTGAATGTATAAACGCTAAAGAGAATTTGAAAATCACACCCAGTTTAACCTTGAATATGAAAACGTAAACTTGTGTTGTAATATTGCACAGAAGGAGAAAAACAGCGTGGACGAGTAATTAATAAATGACTAAGCACTATAATCAGTGGCTATTACTTTGATGTAAGCAAATAAAGTTTCTTATACATTAAATGACAGAAAGACACGTTTACACTTTGTGATATCGTAAACGGAAGCAAATTAAGGCGTGTTTGCCAAAAGAACACAACAAGATTACTCAACGAAACTGTTCCACGTGCGATCACAACTTTGTTTCAGAGTGGAACGACGCTAAGATTTCGTGATGAAGAATTCTCTAAAAGCATATAATTTTATTCACATGGCCAAAGTTATCTGCATCCACTAATAGAGCTCCATCATACTGAGATTTTCCAAACACACAATAAAGATAATATGAACGAGATTTTACAAGTACTCTCCCTGTCAGGTAGTAAGGGCTGTGTTAAATACTGCATTCATTTTTGGAGGTGCATATTAGATTGTTCGCTTTCTTGTCGGCGCTTTTGGTATTTGGTTGTGTATATTAACGTGTGTGTTATTTTTCATCTTGTTTCTAAATGTTTGAGATGTTAAGCGTAAGAGAAATTTGCTATGGAAAGTGTGAGCATTTGATGTCATCATTTCCTGCAAAGTGGAATGGAGCGTGATGAAAGTTGGTAGACTGAAAAGATTTGGCTAAGATTGTTCGGATTGAATTGTTTTTGTATATATTTTCATCTCATTTTATCCTCCTTCGGAAAAGGGAAGGATTCGCTTCGCTCTTACTGCGTGAATTTCTCAGCGTTCAAGTTTCTTTGCCTCAGAACTCATTTTGGTCTGTTTGACTAATTTTATTCCGCACTTCTCCCTCCTTCCTTTCCAATTTCAGCCAGTCGTTTAGGTAGTCTCATATTCGCTCCAGAGAATGTGTGTCAGAGCTGCCTGAGTTGGGCCTCGAGTAATGCTCAAGTTATTGCCCTTCAAGCGCATAATAGCTTACAGAAGGAAGTGTTTATTGATAAGTTCATTTAGATAAGCTTATTCAGTTGTAAACAATGTAAGACGTTAATTACGATAGGTAAGTAAGTATTTTAAATGATAACGAAAATCAAAGGCATATGTGATTGGGTGTTTTGGACTGCTTCACTTCAGATGTAGTATTTGTGGAAAATTGTTAGGGGAAGTGCTTTCATTGCACATTGCAAAGGGTCACTGCCAAGTTTGAGAACCACAAGTTCAGAGTAGAATTTTTAACTGATTTTACATGTACAGAAAACGATTTTTTAATTGTTTGAATAGACTGGAGAACAGCAATGAAATGGGAGTTTTTGTTACAGATTATCTTGCAAAATACTTTTGTTTGAAATTTTGAATATTCACAACAAAAGGAAAAGATGTCACATATAGAGGCCAAGTAGTAATGATCATATCGGTAATGCAATGTTATTACTACTGTCCCTGAATCGACTGTTTCAAGGAATTATTGATTAGGTCGTCTGCATAAAACCTGCTATGCAAGGAAACTCACACTTCCAGTTCCTTACATGGCAGGTTTTTTTACAGATCTAATGTTACAGTCTTGTGTTTTGTGACATTAAATGAATTTAAAGCGATTTTGGAGTAATAATGAACTATTATGAATAATTCAGTTCCATTTGTGACGGCAGTATCTTCAGTTGAGAAAATGGAGCCTCAGGGAAAGTTACAGCTTCCCACAATTTCAACTTCATACACGTAGCGGACGGTAATTAGCAGTCATTCTTACACAAACGAAAGCATCACGCTGTCTTTACAGATTTTTTTGAAATGAACAAAATATTTTTGCAAAAAATATATCACTGGAAAAAAAATATTGGTGATTGATTGTGAATTGTTCAGTTATAGTGATTTTTCTCGTGTCATTGAGATTAGTTGTAAGTGCGTTTGTTATTTTTTGATTCAAATATTAGTTTCCAAGCTGTATATAAAGAATGATACAAACAAAGTACTGTTTGGAGCGATATTTGTTCTAAACTCCTCTTACTATCTAACCATACAAATGTGAATGGTGTTAGTCTTGGTAATTGTAGTAAAGCAAGGGAATGCCTTGTTTTGTGAATTTCTCAAGTTTGGATCTCTTTTCAGTTTCTGTCGGTGGTATTTAGCAATGCCGTTGAATATTTGACTTGATTACCATACACTTTTTTGTAGTCTCAATCAAGAATAATGAATCAAGGAATGGCTGATCATTTTACATCTACAACGGTTAGTTTTCGAATTTCGCTGCAGCAGATAACTTAATAGCATTAATTGATTTTGGCAAGACTGAGGAAGAAATTGGATGAGGTAGTTGTTGCAGCTGTTTCAGTGTTGCTAGTTAATATCTCATGGCACCTAGTAACTTATCTTGCACGTTTATCCGTTCATCTTTTATCTCTCTCTTTCTTCTGTTTGATCCTTCTAGCATTTTGCTCAAAACGTCAAAAGACTTAAACTTTGTCATATTTCAGCTTATGTCCTCATTTATCAGAAAAAAATTGAAGAGCAACTACGAAATGAAGTTAGTTCATCTGCTGGTAAGCAAGTATTGGATTTTTTTAACAGCTGAAGAGTTCTTAAATTATACAATTCGTCTGAAGAGTTGTTAAAATTATACAATTCATTTTTCACTCATAAAGTCTTTCAACTTGATCATGCGATATATTTCGCTTTTTCATCACTATAATTTAAATTCATTCAAGATATTAATACATTCACGAGTCACTTTGCTTTCTTTCTTATCATTGCAATTCGGATTGATTTACAACAAATTAATTAATTTTGTTGCCAAAAAATTCTCTACAGCTATTCATGAAAGAAAAAAATCTGTAATTTATAGGTTTGCAGATACGATAAAGGCTTTTTATTATAATTATTTACTTGATAATTTTGGGGACATTTAGCTCTGACCATCGTCGGGTCCACCATGTGGTAAATCCTCTCATACTTAGCAGGTAACTTAGTGCGTGTATAAAAGTAGAGTACCATCAGTGCTTTTCAAAACTGGCGTCTTTTAATACTACTCTTTTTAACAATCAAATCTTTAATCTCTAAAAGGGTATATTTTATCTAATTTCACTTTAATCTCCAATGACGATTGTCAAAGTAGTTAATATTGATAGTAGCAAATTAAATTTGCAAAATATCTATAAGTCAATTATTTGACTTGATAAGTTATTTTCGGTAATTTTAAACTGTATATAAGTAGTACCTGAAATTAGCTCATTCCACTTCCATTCGTTAATTATTTTTGTCATTTATTGTGCTCATTCGAATCATTTTTTAAAGTTATACGTTTGTGCTGATAGCAAATAGATAATGAAAATGGGTGGTAATTATGTGCGAAATTGTAACCTGAAAGCTTCCTTTCTTTCAATATTCCAGTGCTTTACTTAGGCTATAAAAATCAGTACTTCAAATATAATGATATGAATATCCTTCGAAGAAAATTTTTAAGTTAGTTTTCGCTATGTTCACTGTTCAGCAAAAACAGATTCACTTCAGAATATATTTATATCGGAATTATAATGCTGCAAAAAATTTTACTTGCATTTTGAAAGTTTCTTTTCAAGTATATAATAACAAAATTGAGCTCAATAAATTCTAACAATTTGATATGTATTCATAATTTATCTGTATTTATGTCAGCTGTTCATAGAAATTGGTGTTTTGTAGATGGCTCAGAAAGAAGAGTTATTACTTATTGGTGAAGGTAAGTCAAATTCCACATTAGTCTCATCTAGTTTCTATCCAATTCATTGCAGCTGTATCATATTCTTACGCTCTTAAAATTCTACTTTTTCCTTCTTAAACTGACAGTTTTTCTTGAATACGGAAGATGTTTTTCAGCATATAAAAATCTGAAAGAAATTAAAATATGAAGAAGCGTGCATATGATGTTTGTTAGGTAATCAAATATTATGGGGAGTTGATTTAATTTAGAGAAAATCGGTGGTCTGGTGATATGCTTGCTAGCATTTTTCGGATGACCATTCTGTATTGAATCATAGGAAGGTTTTAGTAGCTAAAATTTTTTGAAAGTACGCAGATTGCAGCGTTCTTATTCCCTTGAGAAACATTGCTAACTTGTGGTGTTTACATGTAAGTATGAATAGCAGTTTTTGTTATCTAGATGTAGTTTTTCAACATTAAGTTGAATCTGCATGCATCAGTTTCTGATTGTCAATTGCAACCATCACCACCATTTTATATTGTTCATTCTGTTATTTAATAAGTTATAGTTTTTGTCTTTTTTGTTTTCGTATAAATTGTATCTTCTTTAGTGACATCTGATCATATGTTATTGCATCTGTTATTAGACAGAACTGGAAGTCGGAGTTGGATATAATACTTGATTCATTTATTTTTAGCTTTTAGAAATCACTGTTGAAATAAATGTATCTAATGTATTGTTCATGCTTATTTATCTGGACAGTGAAGTCACGTTGATTCTATTCTGGTGTTGGCTCTTATATCCAGTCACATATTCAGATTTTAAGAATTTTAAGAGGATCAAATTATTTCACTGAATTTTATTCTGACAACAAAAAAATCTTTTTTCTATGGACATAAAAAAGAAAAAAAATACTGTTGAAGACTTAATAACAAAGAAGAGAATACAAGAAGTTCAGTAAAAATAAACTTATTGCTGAGAGGAAAAAAACACTGACGAATTGTGTGTGATGGGATGTCCACTTCCTTCACCAATACTTTAATCTACTTATGATATTTCGTGAATTTTCTGTATTAAATCCTTTTCTCAGAATACTTGAATTAGATCGAACTATTCAAATTTTGGTTTTCATTTTTCCAGTTTTTGAAGAGTTTTCTCATTTCTAAATTATCAATTTGTTATTCAGAATACTTTTTACTTGCACGTATGAAGTAATCATTGAAGTATTTAATTTGTGTATAAGTTTCTTTCTTAAAATGTAAATTTGGCATATCTTCTGTGCTTGGCATTATATTATTTGTTAAAATGCGTTAGCCATATTTAGTAATTTACGCTTTTAGTAACAAAGTTTAAAATCGTTTGGTTTGTTTAAAGTATTGATTGTTGTATTGTGACATTTTAGTGGTAAGGTAAGGTATTTCAACTAATATATTAAATCATTGTTGAGTACTATGAGTATACGTTACAAGGTAATTTGAAAGTAAGAGGTTTGCAGTATGACTGAAGTAATCTTTTAATATATGTATATGAAGTGAATGGTTTTATCATAACAGAAGTGTATTAGGAATTCTGATTTTAATTGATGATGGCTTTATAAATGTAAAGCTTAGTCTTAAGCTTTTGCATATTGAAGCGATTCTAGAAGTAAATAGGATTATATTTTAAATTATCAGGAAAGTTTTTGGATGGGTAATTAAAAAGGTGTTGGCTTGTTTTTTTCACTGAGTCTGTTCTGTTCTGCATCACTATCATGACTTAATAATAGTAGTTAATCTGATTTACGTTCTGTAATTATTATTGTTATTATTTTACATTCTTATGGTTATTAAACTAGTACATGGTAAGTAAATGCACAAAATCTTATGGGAAAGTAAACAAATTGGAAAAAATGTTACAGATAACTGCAACTTTCATATTCCCAGTACACCGTATTTACTCCTTTTGTAAATTCCGTGCTAATTTAGGCTTACAAATACAGAAGGAACATTGCATTAAGTATTAGTGTAGACCGTAATTATAAAAGGCATCTAGTTATTTTGCCTTTTCTTACTTGGGGTCCAGTACGGTGTTTATTTCGCTGTAGTAAACTGCAATATTGTTTTTACGAAAGTTGAGTAAATTACCATTTTTCCATGTCATTATGCAATTCTTTTTAGTATCTTGATTATGTTTACAGAGCCATAAGATGAGGTGCTGAAGTCCATAGGATGTTTGTTGAGCAGTTTTGAGACTAAAAGATGTTTTAGTTTTAGTTTACAGTTTAACCTTGACATTCTTCAATCTTATTGACATTGGGGAAAGTAATGAGTGAAAGAAAACTGAATGAGTTTGTTTAATATAAATTGCTCACTGCATCATTTTCTGTGGTAACGAAGAGGAGAAACCGTTTGCCATCCTCTGAATTCTTCATGAAGTTAAATGTTTATTGTTATTTTATTCGTGATTATGTGTATCGTAAAGATCTTCATTATTTTTCGCGCGATTCGTTAGTTTGGTTGGCTCTAGAATATGAGCATTCTAGAGTCACTCCAACCTACATGTGTAACATCATGCGATCACTTTTATTGTCAGAATGAAGTAGGGTGGAAAGAGAAAACATCTGCAGATTAAGAGATAACTGCAGTTTGCATATTTTTCGTTAATGTCAGCAGCTCTCATCATTTTTATCAGTATCAGTGGGGACGATGAAACAAAGTGTGACAGCAGCTTGCTTGACTCTTGTAAACTCATCGATCTGCAGAGAGTAATCAGCTGTTTGTTGCATCGGATTCAGCAATTCTCAGTGGTGTTTTGAGGTGGAAATGTGTTGAGAAAAATGTGAAAGACGATGAATGCTGTGCAGAAGATGGTTGATCAGTGACTAATAGGATTATCGATCGATCGATCAATTGAGAGGCGCGTGGAGTGAACAAACTGATATTGGTGATGATGAGTTTGATTTGAATGGTATTTCGTGCGTTTTGGCTGCGTTCAGTTGGAAAGTAAAAATGACTTTGTATTAAATTAGCTATGTGTATTGAAGGATATTGCCTTGCTTGTGGACTGATAGCACAGTGGCTGCATATGGACTGATTAGCGTAGAAAATGTAATGGGTGCTAGAGGATAAGTTCATTTGTTGCTGATGTTGTTGTTTAGTATGATAATTGTGATGTTTTGAGTTATAATGTGCTGTATAGATTGATGGTGATGATGGCAAATCGTGGTAGACTTATTCGGTTAATCATGTCTTCTTGCGGAGAAAAGAGAAGAGACGAGTATGAGTGTGAGTGTGCGTTGCATCCCTTCAAAAATATCTCTACTAGCGAGGGAAGAGTGAAGGAAGCCCTCTGTGCTCTCCTGCTTATATTTGTTTTCCTTATACTGGAAAGTACTGTAATTAATACTGATGACTTAAAGCATTGCGAGAAATTACTTTCTATTCAAGTGGCATTCTGCACATTCTTAATATCTCCATTGGGATGCAACGAGTCATACGTGCCTTGCTTGAACGGGAGATGTGTTAGTTCAATAACAGTATGAATGAATGATATTAACGTCGTAGAGAGGAAAACTGCATACAATAGATGGAATAAATTAAATTAAACTGAAGTGGCGTGAGATAGTACAATTGGTGGTACAGCATGCTGAATCAGCGAATTGCTTGATTGGGTAAATTTGTGTAGAGTACACCTCTGCTGCGCTCCATGTTTGGTCGGAAGCATTTACGATGTCCGTCTTGAGCAACTCTGAAATGCACTTATTCTTTCTGAAATTTAAAATTTATTAACCATATATATAGACATGGATAGATGTCATTTTAGATTTGCTATTGTTGATTGAGAATATGCTGACTGTGCATGCGTATATGTAAAGGAGTTTGTGCAATATAGGTTCACTTTTTTATTACTATTTTTGGTTATTATTGATGTGTTTAATCGACGCTGCAATGATGGAAGACAATCTATTTTCAATTGAAAGAAGATCTGGTGCGAAGTGTGCAATGTCCGACACAATTGGACAAGATTAGCAGGCAGAAATCGCTGAAGGTTGCAGCAAGTCGGTGTCATGCACTGCGTGAATATATCTGTTCAGTACATAAAGTAATTCTTATTCAGCATTTTACTCACATTCACGCTAACCACAATTGTAGCTTTGAAAAATAATCACTTATAATTTAAATAGTTTCAGTATTTGAAAATACTATTAGAAACCAAGAGTTAGTTTTTCAGTTTCAGTCTTGGCAATACTAAGTGCATGATGATGTCTATCTAAGGTTATTTGCAATACGTGAAATGGAATAGTTTAAAAGTGCATACTAAACACATGACTAACTTAATTTATGTGCATATAATACAAATTTGAAGTATATTACTCGGATGCTAGAATTTAATTGAATTAGTATCCATAATCAGACATGGTTTATGTTATTTTCTACTTGACATTTTTATTCAAAAATATGTAGAGAAGTTCTTTGCAGAAATGCTTTGCCCAACTTATTGCAAAGTATCGCTGCGTAATTATCTAACCTTCCTTTATGAATTGCAAAAATGTGCATAAATTATTATTATATTATTATTATCGTCATTCCAATCATCAGTATTATGAACAACACCGCACCTGAAGTATAGTGATTTTGATCTTTTTAAAAAGGCATTTATTTTAGATATAGAGAGATGTGAACAGTACATTAAGAGGAATACATATTGCAAAAGATGTTTACATGCTTGCTTCAAGCTTTAAATTAGTTGAATTATTAATTAATGAGATAAATGTAATTGCAGAAAGACAAATTATTCATCAATAGCAAGAGACTTGGTGTGCTTACGTTGCTTCGCTTCTTGGCACATTTCTGCTTGCTCACATTGCTCACGTTATTGACAGGCCCACTTAGTCTAAGCTATAAAGCTTTCTACTAAGCCAGCCAAGTGCTCCACTCTGTACTCATTCTCTTTTGCTCTCCGGAGCGGAGCAAGTGGTCTCTTATTTCTCAGTCTGCATTACCATCTTCGTTCATATCTCAACATGATTCGATTCCAGACGTCCCTTGGCGGTTCTGAAAGCTTGTCCTTTAGATAGATATGTTTAGTTATTTTTCTCTTTAGGCCAACGAGCGGCTAGTATTGATTTTTATACTCGAGTAACACTCAGCAACAACATCACTACTGCAGTTATATTCCTGCTAATTCTTTCCCGCGCGGTATTCAATTAAATTTCTTTTGTTTTCTTTCTAACATATTTCGTAGTCTTTGGTATTATTCAAAAAATCGATCAATTTTCTACAATGAAAATGAACTTGTCTGAGAAGCAGCGCGATGAATTGTAAGTGAAGCAAATTCCTACTACTTTTATCTTAACCATTGTCTTCCCCTTCATTTTGTGTATTCATTTCTAGTATGATATTGTAAACAGATGATTTACTAGTTATTGTAATATTTTGAGAATATCATTTTATTATTCATTTTGCACGAACTGCATTGCATTGTATGCTTGTCAGAAATCGCGCAATTGCCGATTATCTTCAGTCTTACGGTTACAGTGAATCATTAGACGCTTTCAGACGAGAAACAGGATTGGTTAGTTTTTCTTAATAATTAATCACATAAAAGAAAAGAAATTCTTACTCAGAAGTGTCCTCATCTCATTTCCACACCACAAAATGACACGTTTTCAATAATTTAGATACAAAATGATGATAAAAAAGTTACGGGTTTATTGGAAAAAAAATGGACTTCAGTTGTTCGTTTACAAAAAAAAGTTATGGATCTAGAAGCAAAACTTCAAGAAGCAGAACGAGAATACATACATGGAGCACCAACAAGGTTACATTGAGACCGTGCATTTTTTAAATTGTATGAAACGCTTAATTTGACACATTTACTTGTAAAAGCAGTGAGTAAATGTTGAAACGTTTGAGTTGTACCTAAATAATTCATATATATTTTCTATTTTCTCTAACATTGTCTTGTATTAGTTTGTAATAAAATATCGCAGGGAAAAACGTCAGCCTGGAGAATGGATCCCACGACCACCGGAAAAATTTTCGTTAACTGGCCATCGCTCACCGATTACTCGAGTTATATTTCATCCTGTTTATAGCATAATTGCATCATCTAGTGAAGATTCAACAATTAAGGTAACCTGCAGATAATTAGTTCTCTTCTGTTTCAGTACATAAAAAGTTTCTTGTATTCATCATAGTTTTCTGCCTGAATTTGTCCCGTTTTTAGCTAAAGAAAATCATATATTTCTGTGGAACTATTGCCAGCGTTGTCAGTTTTTGCAGGTTTGGGATTTCGAAACTGGAGATTTTGAACGGTCTTTGAAAGGGCATACTGATGCTGTACAGGACCTCGCATTTGACACCAGTGGAAAACTGTTAGGCAAGTTTTCAGGAATTCTTGCATCATTTTACTGACAAAATGGGATAGCACCTATCACGATTCACAGCTAGAACTACTTTCAAAAAAAGAATGTGGTTTACTCAAAAATTAAATTACAAAGCTCATGAAAAAGTACACAAGAGTGCATTTATTCTTATTCCATTGGATTGTATTGGGCTTTCCAAAACACCATTGAGTTTCTTCTTGTATTTAAATTTTTTTCTACTTATGTGCATCTCGTTCATATATCATTAAATGGTTCATGATATGAAGTAGTCAGAAATTGGCCGTAAATTATCGTTATTGTAAATCGATTAATGTTTTAAAAAAGTGTAGTTTTGTATTTCACTAAGAAACTGTGCAATTTGCAAAATTTTCAATTAAGTTTTTTGTAGCATCATGTTCTGCTGACATGGCAATCAAAATATGGGAATTTGTACAGACATATGATTGTATGAAAACACTTAAGGGACACGATCACAATATTTCATCAATTGCATTCCTCCCATCAGGTATTTTTTATATATTATAGAAATTACAACTGCGATATGGATAGATCAGATCGGGGGGATTCTTTGATTAAAGTTAGTTTAGAATTTCGCAAGGGTTTTAATATTTACTTTCTTCATTTATGCGAATACGATTTGCTCGGTTTTTATTTTGTCTTTGTTTCAGGCGATTATTTATTATCGGCTTCACGCGATCATTTAATAAAGATGTGGGAAGTAGCAACGGGTTATTGCGTCCGAACATTTGCTGGGCATAGCGAATGGGTACGAATGGTGCGAGTGCACCATGAAGGGAATATATTCGCATCTTGTAGTAATGATCAGGTTACTTTTCATGCCAAAATTCTTCGCTTTAATTTTCAATTCTCAAGTTTGCGCCGGAATAATGAATAAGACTAAGACAAATACGTGGTTACTGGTTACAAAGGTTTCTCGCAGGAAACCAAGTGTTAATCAATGAATGTAACCCATTAGTCTTGTGAAAGAATTAATTTTTTATGTAAAATGATAAAAATGAAGCTTTGTTTTTGAGATTAAAAACTAAAATTATATACACATCCCAAACCGTTTTTGATGCTTTTACATGATACAAATACTTGTATTTTCAGACAATCTGCATATGGAATACATCATCAAAAGAATGTAAAATGCAATTTTTCGATCACGAACATGTTGTTGAATGTATTCAGTGGGCTCCTGAAATAGCTCACCGTTATATTGCCGAAGCTGAGCAAGATAATTCATGTTGGTTTGATCACAGTTTTAAGAAATGTTTAAGATTCTTCAGCATTTCATATTTACTCTCATAAGTATGCATTATTTTTATGTAAGCTGTTTCGTACTTAAAAAGCATTGCTTAAAAATTTCTCATCTGACATTTTCGGTCACGAACATGTTGTTGAATGTATTCAATGGGCTCCTGAAATAGCTAATATTCCCGTTATGTGCTATGTGAAGACCTTTGACTAAGTCAAGATTTCAACTTCGTAATTACTTTTTCAGCGCGTTTAGCTTATCATTGTCGATTGGAATTTATTTTTATCTTTGTATATATTTTCCATCTTTAGAAATCGAAAATAAATACATTATTCATTTTATTAACTGAACATAATGTCTTAATTCATTTCATACTAACTTTTTTTGCTGGTACCATCTTCCTACTAGTTTTGATTCTTGTCTGCTTTTTTTTCAGTACAAATAAATGGCGATGCAAAAAAAGGTGAAATCTTGGTTCCGCCGAAAATTGGACCAGTCCTTGTCTCTGGTTCTCGAGATAGAATGATCAAATTCTTTGATATCTCTGCGGGGTGCTGCTTGTTTACTTTGGTATGTGTCGCATTCTTTTATTCCTGCACAGAAATAATTGCTAGAAACTCTAGTGGATTTACACACCTGTTGTAATGAAATAATTGTAATGAAATAATTTTAGTAAAGAAGAATTAAATTTAAAAACAAGATTATATACACCATATATGGAAGTGTGGAGAAGTACGTATAGTGTTGCAGATTGGCCACGATAATTGGGTTAGGGGATTACGATTTCATCCAGCTGGTAAATACCTATTATCAGTAGCAGATGACAAAACTCTCCGTGTATGGTCAATTTCACATAAACGTTGTACCAAAACGTTGGATGCTCACAAGCATTTTGTCAGTTCACTTGGTTTGTTGCATTGAATCAACATTAATATGTTACAAAAAAACCTTAAACTTTTTGCTCGATTTAATCAGTCAGTTCTCATCTACAGATTTTCTAAAGGTGATTGCTTTCTAAAGATATATTACTTGAGTTTTGTAATCAACTCATAATTTTATTTATCATTGAAAAAGTTCTCGTCATCGTTTCAGTTTTTCATGATTTATAACTTTATATTTAAACGCTGCAGAGTAAAATGTAGAAATCATTGTTCAGTTGAATGCCCTATTTTGTGGCAGATTTGTGAGAATATAGCTTCAGTACATTGATAAATGCTCAAGCACACTGACATTTTATAGCTTTTCAGATTTCCATCAAACACTTCCATATGTTGTTACTTCTAGTGTCGATATGACAATTAAAGTATGGGAATGCCGTTGAAACGGAATCCACGGATAATGTAAACAACAATTTAATTCTATATTTTTATTCCTCTTTATATTTGCACAATGTACCGATTCCTGTTGCATACTATACCAGTCAGAGAATGTATTTAAATTATAATTTATTGTACTTTTATCGACTCGTCGTTATTTATTAATTTCTGGAAGGAATGATTTCAATTTTCAAAGTATCATATCACTTTAAGCAGGAATGAACGATTATATGAAAAAAGAAACAAAGAAATTTAGCGTGAGAATTGAATGTCTGGAAAACTTTGAAGGAAAAAGGAAATTATTTTTGTTTTATATATGCATGTATGTGTATATTATATACATATATATATATGAATTGTGTAAGAAGCTTAAGTGTTAATATCGTCAGTTTTGATTTGCTTTCCGCGTGATTAAGATATACTAAATGGAAGCTACTTGTCTGTTATTTAAATTGGCGCTTTGATACTCTATTCATTACATATCGTTTTGTGACTTGGAGTTACAGCTCCAGTAATGTATACAACCAATGTATGTGGTGTACTATTAATTCTTCATTCTTAAATCCTGTTCATATGAAAGCAAACTGAAATTAGCTTGCGAGTCACTATTTCCTGTTTGTAACATTTAATAGTCTGTGATGATACAGTTATTGAGTTGAACAAATCTACCAAATAAAATGATGAAAAACCTCCACTTTTACTCATACAGCGGTGATGTAATTCTTTACTTTAAGAAATGATTTCCTTTTCGAAAAGGAGCTTGTGAGTGGTGATGTACATGATTGTGACAGTGAACCAGATTTCTGTCGATTAAGATATGGTAACAAATAATTTGGTGTATTATTCCAAGTTGAAAGGAATCAGATTATTTCAGATTAAAGAAAGCTCATAGTCGATCGGGTGTTAATATGCATTCAGCATTTCAAATGCTGAGAACAACATCTCTCTCTACTTTTTTCGCGTCTGTACGAGTAAGTCAACATTTGGAATAATGATAAATCTTAGCACTATTTTTAAGTATCCTTGTTACAGATCTTGTCCAAGTTACTTTTCTTGAGTGGAATTTCACGTGCAATTCTTGTAATTGCTGGAATATCATTACTGGTCAAGGTATGTAATAATTAGTGTGGGTGCTGAGCATTGTTATCATAATATTTGACATCAGCAAATAACCAATGCTTTCATTTTAACTTTGATCTTTAGTGTCCTGCTTTTTATTTAGTGTAAGACTCAGCTGTCTAAAAATAATCTGGATATGCTGCTGGGAAAAATATTGAAACATACGCATGTTGGGAATGACAAAATACCATGTGTTCAGGTAAATTTTTTATAGAAATGTTGCAATCTTGATTTCTTGATATTTATATAAATGTAAAGGAAAATGCAGTCTTACCAGTCATTTTTCCCGATCATCACTTGTCAAGAAATAAAAATGATTTTGGTAGTCAAATCGAAATTTGAAGTATGAGAAGTTCTTTTTTTTTGCATAAGCTTAATTCGAAGTTACGTAAAGTTTATGCTTTTATTATTTTGAGGTCCGATGTAAAGTGAATGATTTTGATGAATATATAAAGAAATATTTTTCGCATCCTATCGATCTCTGGGCGTTGGATTTGAGGAATATAGCAGGTTATGCATCGTAGTAGATTTTAAAAATTATCAGTTCTAATATGGTATGTAGAAGTCAGTCTAATTTTATTCAAGGCTTACTTACTTTTCAAATTTAATCACAAATGTTTACCTCAGTGTAGCGTATGTTGGAATGTCAATTACTTCAAGATGAATTTTAAGGATTAGGTGATACAGTTTTAATAACAAAATGTGATGTGAGTGAAAGACCTACTAAACTGGTAACGCATTTTGTTGATCGTATAATATTTAAATATGGAAATATCATTGACCCTATTACGCAGAGAAGAGTATTGAAGGAAAGATATGAAGATGAAATTAATTTAGAAACTGAGCTAGTGAAAGAAATAATCGAAGAACCTTTATCTCACGTATGCTTTTTTTGTTATCTTAACTTTTGTATAATCTAATTTTACTGCAATAGATTTTGATTTTTGTCTTGTTCGATTTCTATACGCTGTAGTAAAGGAAATCACGTCAAGTACACATCAGGTTTTTGATAAAATTATTTTAGCACTAAATGTTATGTTTAAGTTTCATCAATGTAGCAAAGAAAGAAATGATTAAACGATAATAAACATGAAGATAACAGTCCAGGTGAAATTTTACCAATTATTTTGTTGAAGGATGTTTTGTTGTTCAAAGAAAAACGTGATATTCAACGGCAGCGTTTGAATACTCGTAAGTCAGCGATAAATTGTCGAAAGGAGTTGGCAAAACAAGAACGTTTATCAATACACGAACAGTTAAAGATAACATAGCAGCGGAATAAATGATAAAAAAGAGTAAAAATGAGGATGATTATTTGTACTTGTGAAGGAGTACAAGCTTTATATCTGTTTTGAAAGTTTTGGTTACGTATATATATTGTGAAGCAATATTAAGACGAGCTCAAGATTTACATCATATTATTGTTTATGTTCTTTGCATATTATAACATTTGTATACATTGTGACTCAGGACTGATTAAACATTATATATATATGTAATAAAAACATTGTGTTTGAAGTGTTGAAATGTTTTGTTAATAAAAGTTTACAAGATATCTATTAATAATGTAATTGTAGTTCATTTTCTACTATTCTAATATTTTATGGTTTTATATACACACTGCTGTATAAGACTCAGTGAGTCATTTATCTTTAACAACATAGTGACCAACAAACGGAATCAAGCGATGAATTTGGTCTATCTGTAAATAAAATTTCTTTCAGAAATGGAAGAAGATGAAGGAGATTTGCTCAACAGACCATGTAGACTTGACGTCATGTCCTTTGTAAAAGAACGAGTCAGACAAATTGCTGAACTGATCCAGGTTATTTTTCTTCTGTACATCAAATGGCAATGTTTTGCATTAGTACATACATATTTTGTTGGTGAAGTTTACGTTTGGATTCTGTTTCGAGAAAAGTAACTGGTCCTCACTTTAGGCTATCGATAACCGAGCTTTAGTGTCAGGAGAAGTAACAAAAGGACCACGTACGGCAGCACAGTGCTTACCACGTCATATGCGTCGTCGAGCGATGTCGTACAATGTGAAACGTTTTCCACGAACACAACGTCGTTTCGCAAAAGCAGTTATTGCTGCTTCAAAACATCGTCAGAAACCTCCGAGTCGCTTTTGGAGAAGACGACCTAGAAATTTACTTTTGGTAATGCTTTTCCGTTATTAAATTCTTTTAAATTGCTTGAAAACTAGTTTTGAATAAGTGACGTAAATTGTGTTTAAAATTTTCATTTCTTGCAATTTTATCGTCTTGTTTTTTTACCACTTACTCCTAGTCAACTTCCTACTTCACATTGTTTTTCACTTCTTTAAACTTATATAAGTTTTTTGTACAAATGATGTTTTTGGGTAACATCAGGGTCATTCTGTCAGATTTCATGTTCATTGTTCGAACATTCACGTTAAGATTTTTTTTTGCGTTTTTTCATAAAAGTATCTCAAATGCGGAATCAAAATAGTATTTAGGTTTTCTTAACTCAGAACGCAATCATTTCCATAATTTCCTTTCAATTGCCATCTGTATAATCCTGAAGTGTATCTGAAAAAGAGTAAATGGATCCAAAACTTTTAATCTGGCTCTCCTTAAGTATCATATAAACTTTAGGTTTATCGAAAATAAAATTATTAAAAAGTGTAGACTTTTGGTACATAAACTCTTCTTGCTATTTGAATTTTAGAATTATGTACGAAGGCAACGAATGTATGTTTGGCTGGAGACTCATATATGGCATGCAAAACGTTTTCGAATGATCAAAAAATGGGGGTACAATTTGGCGCTAAGAAGTTATCAACGTGCTTTCCGCCCATCATATCGCGATTCAATGCGTCATTGTGTTGCCCAAGATTCTAGCTTTCTGCGATGCTTTCAAGTAAATTGAATTTCTGTGTTGAGTGCCGTATATGCCAAAATCAGCATGTTATTTTTAAAATCAATTTCAAGTCACGAAATTGATTTTTTTTCATTTAATTTTATGTAATAACAATGTTTTAAGTTCACTGGTGATTTTATATGTTTTCCAGTCAAGTAGTTTAAAAATGTGTTTGCAACATTTTTAAGAATAGGAATTTCAAATATGCTAGTTTCTTATTTCAGTGTCTAATTATCATCAATTAACTCAAATTTTTTAAACTTTTACTCCAAAGGGGCATTATTCATGAAACAAAAATTAACCTATTTATGAAATGAGGTACAAAATTATAGTAGAAACATGTTTCTTAAAATATAAGTCCGTAATAAATTATTTTCATTCATGTTTATCAATTTTTTATCAAAATTTATGAATTTGTATCTCTCATCAGTATATTATTAACTTTGTTCGTTCCAGATAATTGGTCCTAATCTAATGGCAATTGCTAAACCACTATGTGTCATGTGTTCACCTGATATTGGTCCAACGCTTGCATCTAAAATCGCTTTAAATGGTCATTTTGAGTTGTCAGTGATGCTATATGAACCAGGCAAGTATCCATCTGGATTCATTGCACCAGTAAGATTATTATGGAGCAAACACAGGTACTTTTATGAACTCAAACAATGTTCTTGCAATTTAACAGGAAAGAGTTTTGAATTTAAATGTAATATATTGCAGGTATTTTTCTAAATAGTGTTTTCATCCTGTTTTCCTTAGGTATCATCATTTAAGCTTCAGTTGAATAGTTTTGATGAACTACAATTATTTGCTTACTTTCGTGACTTTTAATCAGTGTATATGATAATATTAAAAGTATGAACTTTTAGGACAAGAGAAGAATTTACATTGGCTGTTTGGACTCATCCTTCTTCAAGTCAAGTTATATTAACGAAATTTATCTGCCTGTTACAGTTGAAGAAACAGGAACAAAAGGTGGATGCGAACACAGTTTCCATTTTACCGAAAACTTTTGATGAATGGAGGCTGCATAACATGGAAATAAAAACAGATATTTATTTCAGCGAGGACGGTCTAAAAGTATTCACCTAATGTGCATTATAATTTTTGTTGTAATTTGACTTGCCGCGTTAAATCTCTTTTTGAATTTTTTTGTTCCCAATTTTTGAGTGAATAATATGTATTTTGTGAAGAGCTTTAATTATCGATTGCAATCTCTATTTAAATTATGAATATCACTGAATCGGTATTTTTTTAGATTCTGTGCATTTAAAAAATGGGATTTGAAAGTGCCTTTAAAAATATGTACTATATTGTTTCAGTTATATGATTTAAGCGATCAGTTGATTAGGTTCAGATTACACGGTCCTAAATCACTTCAAATATTGCATAGCGTTCTTGCTGTTGTTGATGATAAGGATTGTGAAGATTTATCGATGAGTGAATTCATGTTAGTCCTCAGTTGATATAATTAGTTTCTTAATTGAAATCGTTGCAGTAAAAAAGTGAAGTTAGAAATAAATGGTTTTAAGTTTAGTTTTTACATGAATTAAAAACTTTCAGATCATGTAATCAGAGCTGGAAAGATGATTGGGGATTACGTAATCCTGGGGAGTTCCCTGATGGTACTGTTTTCAGCTTGCTTGTTGAAGACCCGAGGTTAACTCGACCGTCAAGGAAAACAAAATTAAAGGAAGCAGGTCTATTTTCAGCAAAATCAGTAGATATAAGCGATTTGCAACTTCCCTTGAGCTACTTTTGGAATTTAGAAATCCGGAGAAAGGTGCGAACTTAATCCTTTTTGGTTTCGTTAATTCTATATTGCGCTCATTTATGCTATATTTAGAAATATCGGCTGACTAAAAAGCGATTAATTAAATTAATATACGATGTTCTCCTACATCTTTTGACCTTTGCTTTTAACTTTATTTTTGTATTTTCTATCCGATGTAATCACACTAATTCATTTTTTTATTGAAATGCTTCTTTAGGCCCTTGAAAAGAAAATAGTAGAAGCAGATCTGCAAAAAATGCGTAGTTTACAACTTCAAACTGTGAGGACATCAGATGCCAAGGTTAGTGATTCTTGTATTCACAATCAGTGCTTCTGCAATTTCCAATTTATTTTCAAGTATCGATCAATACATTATGATGATATATGAAATGTATGTGTTTTTCAAGCACAAATAAATCCTTCTATTTTGGTGGACTTATGTTGCAGATACCAGTACTCGTGGTGATTCGGAACACGATTGGAGGAACAACAAGCCCATATATTGGTTTAGACCTCATCGCACCATCAGGATTTGGTGTGTCTGTTAAGAAGTTTTCAAGATTTTAGTAATTATATGTCTTGAATATATTTAAATAATTTTTCACTCTTACAAGGTTCGGAATTTTGGATTGCTTTACAATATGGTACAGCAAGAAGTGTTGGATTAAGGGATAAAAAATTTATGGAACTTGAATCGAAACGTTTTAATTTTCCATCTGATGTACCAGATTGTGGAGCTGGTTTAAATGAATTCAAGGAAGAGTATATCAGTTTACAGGTAGTCTATTGTTGTCATTGTATTTTGTTCTTCATAGACTTTTTAATTCTTATTTTTTTGGTGACTTTAAATCATAATTTAGTTTTCTCAAATGATTCCGTGAAGAAAAATTCGACTCTTTTCTTCCGCAGCAAAAACGTTGCTAAAAAATTTGATTACTTCTGGTTTTCCTTTTTGTGTTTTGAATGTTATTCCAAGCTCTCTGAGAAGCAATTTAGTTGCATTCATTTACAAGAAAAATATGTTCTCACGTGTTGAAAAATATCTTCAGGAGAAGTATCTTCGACGACCACATAATCGTCGTATAAAGTACTGGAATGATTTGTCGATCAAATATCCTTTCAACTTTAATTTTTCTGAATTATCTCACGACTGGCTTCAGCATTCAAGTTCACTAGAAGCAACTTATGTTGTTCGTTCTCGACAGATTTTAGGAATTATTGATAAATGGTTAAACGGCAAAGGGCCAGCGCCGGAAGGTAAGTTCAAATGTAGTGATATATTTTAAATTAAGTTTAGCATGAATCTGTCGCGGGAATTTCACACTTCACATGTTTGTTCTAAATAATTGCAGAAGCTATAATGAATTCTGCTGCATTAATACCAGTGTGCCTCTTTTCGTTTACAACGGGTCGTCCTCAACGATTTGCATTGATATGTGCACCAGTAAATGAAGATTTAGATGAAATGATGAGGCTGACCAAACATAAAAAAGCTTTAGAAATTGTTGAAACACCAAGGACAAGCAACATCTCCAAATCTGTGGTTGCTGAAAATGGAAAAAAAGTAAATAGATGTAATTGTCAGCTAAAAATATTACGTGTTCATTTTAAGCAACTTTTTTGTTTCTAATTTATTTCAGTTTTCATTGCTTACTATTTTGTTCGTATTTAGTGACCGAAATATAATTTTATTTCAGACCGAAGCAGCTGATTTTATTTCGCTGGATGTTACTCCAAATGAAAAAGTGGTTTCGTTAGACTCACTTTTTCCCGACATACAGATGTCCAGGTAAATTGATGATAAAGACTGTATTTAAAGTGCAACTGATAACATTGATGTGATCTTTTTGAAAATTATGTCTGCCTTTATCAAAAACCTTAGATCAGCTTTAGTTACGATGTTCTTTATGCCTTAAGTTATTAATTAATTTATTGTTCAGTTTTTAATTTCGCTTGTCAGTGCTATTCCGATAAGCAGTTATACGAAAAAGATTATTTGTTTTTCATATAATTTATGCTAGCAGGAAGCGAAAATTGAAAGATAAGAAAAAGATGAAAAGGAAGAAAGCGAAACTTGCAAAGAAATTAGAGATGAAATTGGATGGTGAGCAGAAAGCTGTGATTTCAGAGCAGGTAATGGTATCGAAGGGTGATGAAGGAGTAAAATCTGTAAGATATAGTATGAGCTGTTCAAGGTTAATTTTTATACTGTTTCTTGAAGACATCTATTCGTATTGTTGATGCTTGTAACTTTCTCATTTAATTCGTATGTTTGTATTCTACTTTCAGTAATATGATTGCTGCGCAGGAAGCATGACTTCATTTTCAGTTTACTTTTTTATTTCGTTAATTTTTCTGTATATCAAGGATAGGCAGGTAATTAATTTTGGCTTTTAATCACTACTTTTTTTACAGACTTATTGTTGGAAGAGTCGTGCGCGGTGATTTCTCGTTCGTTCATGGAAAAGGTTTTGCTACTGGTTATTGTTGTTTATCAGCTCTGAAAAATATTCGTTGTGGGATAGTATTGTTTAGGAATGTCACATCAAAATATTATCACCCAGCTCGAATTACTATTGTTAAAAATCATCTTGACTTGTAATAATCACTTGATTAACGATATAAAAGTTTTTGATTTGTGTAATTATTTTTGTCATTATTTTAGAAGTATGAAAAAATACCTCGACTAAGCATATGGGAATATAAACTTTATAGATTATTTCGTGGCAAAATTCATGGTAAAATTGCTATGAAAGAAAAAGAGGCTGTTAGGAAACTATCAACTTCCATTCACTTTAGGATGTAAATCAAATTTTAAAAAAGAAAAACTATATTGCTGCTGCACTGGAAAACTTCGACTAAAAAATGTCTTTGGTATGTTGACCTTGTTCTCGATCATGCATATTCATTTTGATGATTATATAATTTGCTAAAAACATTGCAAGCGGTGAGAATTGTGTAGGTCTCTGTGAATTTAATTAGTGATTTAAAAAATTCATCAGAATGGACTTGGATTAATCCTGCAGAAGATAAGACCCAAAGCATACATGAGCAGTGTTTACTAATCATGTATGCTTTGGGTCTTATTTAACCGAAAGCATGGTAATTATATATTTGTTAGTGGTAATAATAAAATATGACTGAAGAAGTGGGTATCATATAAGCTGCTGTAAGTTCCAGAGCTTAGATTCATCATTGATGATCCAAAAAAGAATTGAGAGCTTCTCAGTACAATTTAATGTGGGTAGCGATGATTGCTTAACATATTTTTCACGTTAGGTTTATAACATGAGCCACGCATTTGGGACCTATATCTCGTTTAGCTGAATTCTTGAATTTTTTAAGTGAAATTAGAGTAACTGAGTTGTAATTTGCAGTACTGGGACAATTTAAATCCTTTATCAGTGTAAAAAAACGGGAAATATAAGTGGTTATGCAAGTTTTCGTCGATAATAAAAGTGAGTTAAAAATTGAGAAACTGATATAACTTTCAAAGTAAGAAAAGAAAAGATGAATTGCGGTGCGGTGCTGAGAGACTCCAGATTTTTTGAAACTTGTAATTATCGCCCTCAGAACTCTAGAACTATTCAAAAATTCCATATCTGTTGACGGTTATCTTACACAGTCTCACAGAATCAAAATTGTAAAAGAGATGTGAAATTTTCATTGAGTTCAACTGATCACAAGTCAATTTTGATATCTTTTTGCAGCTGCGACTGCACAATTGTTCTATAACTTGATGGTTAATTTCCTGAAATCAGCTGGAAGTGCTAGAAAAGCTGTAAATTTTCATTGTCGTAATGCATTTTATAACTTACAGGGCACTTATGCAGTTTCTGTATTTTAATTTTTTTAAATTATCTCTGGCATCTTTGCATTCTGATGTGATGGAAATGTGTTCCTTTTACTTCACTCTTTTATTGTTGATATTAAGGAGCTAAATATTCTTTTAGTTTTTTTTGAAATCAAAATTTTGTGTTTTGTGTAATTACTGAGAACTTGAGTTCTTGGAAATTATGTGGATTTTTCATTCATCGAATGTGTTATGTATGACTTCATGTGTATGTGACAACTAAACTTATTCTCAAATCGATGTTTACACTTTTTAAAATATCTAAGATTTATATCAGAATTGCTGACATAATTGTTCGAGATGTTTTGCTTGCCCATCAGTTAAAGTAATGTTGTTAAGATTTTTCATATTATCAGTGGCGATATAATTTATATCTACGTTATGTATTGGTCTTCCGTTGATTCAAAAATTATACTACTACTTGCTGTTAGCTTCACATCATATTCTCGATTTGTACATGGGAAATTAAAAGGGCGAATTTGTGCATATGGTGATATCGATCGTGACCTTTATACTGATATAATTGTTCAAGATAATGACAGGCTAAACATCTACTTTCAGGTTCTACCGTTTGCTTATTTTTTTGTCATGTCAACTTCATCCATTCGGTTTCGCTATTATTAATTTTTCCTTATTCAAGCTAGCTTTCCTTTTTGATCTTTTTCTTTTATTTTACAAAATTTCCGACTTTTCCTGTAATACTCTGGCCCTAGTCGCTGTTTTCAGGAAGGTAGTAAAGTATTTTATTACTTTCAGTAAGGTAATTTTGTTCCTTCTAAGTTCTAGATTTTCCGTCGTGTGCAGTTTCTGCACAGCTGTTTTGTAAGAGATTAGATTTTACAGGAAAGTGTTTCTTTAATAATTATGTATTATTCTTTTCAATTGCTTCATTTATGACGATTTATGTGTATCATAATAATAATAAGTTTTGCTCTAGAATTATGAAATTTAACTTATTCAGAATGAAAATGGTGAATTTTCTGAAGCGGGGCACAGCATTCATCTTGGCTCAACGCAAACTGTTTCCTGTGCAGTTGGAGATTTCAATGGTGACTCTGTCCCTGACCTACTTATTTCAAAGAAAAAGGTTTCCTTAAATTAATGGTGTAATTTTTCTAGACATCAATCTTATAAATTTTCTATAAACAGTGTGCATAATTTTTAGATTTTAAATCAAGACATATAATACAGCTTACGTTTTCAGTCTATCTGTACGACTTTTTATTTATATCATACATAGTTATAATACTAAAAAATCAGTTAAGCCTTTTTAGTTAGATGCTAGTCTTTTCTCATCTGGTGAAAAAGGGTATGAATCAACGGTATATATTTATTTATATAATTCTTACCAACCAATTTATTTGGATCCGACTGTACTAGACGAGCTTTCGATAATGGATGTCAATGGTGATGGCACTAGTGATGTTGTGGGATTTTCTAAAAATGGTTCCTTATTTTGTCTCCTGGGTTCATCATCTGGGAATTTCTCTTCTTGTAATCATTTTTTCAAGTAAGTTATTTTATGAAATATATCTGTGACGATTTTCTTAGTAGGTTATGTTTGAAAGGCCTAAAAATTCACTTCAAATTTACTTCTTATCATTTACTACTTCATAATTTTTATTTCGTTATAATAACACACAACAAAGCTTTGATTATACTCAACAGCTTATTTTAGAGGGTTCAGTGCTAAACCGTATGAGCGTTTTTTGCATTCTTTCATAGATATAGATGGAGATTTGAGCGCTGAGATAATTTTTGGTACCGAACGCAGAGGTCGATTAAAAATGGAAGCATGGAAACGAATATCGAAGTATTTTTTCAGAATTAAAGTTTTTTTTGTCTTAGTGACATAAAGTTTTTGGTGAAACTATGGTTTTTATACTGTTATTCATAACAGCTCTAAATTTTTTGCTCATGTACATCGTAAAAATTATGAAGCTTTAATCCCTTCAAACTTTTTATTCATGAAGTTTACGTCTCTTTTTCTTGTTATATTTATAAACGTGCTAATTTTGCTTCCCTTAGTGAAATATGGAAATTAGATGAAACACTTATTGCTGATTTACCATTGGAATCGTGTCCTACTAATCACTTTGGTGCTGTGTTATTTGCTGACTTTGATGCTGATGGAATTGTGGATATTGGTTTACCATGTTGTGCGGATTCCGCTTGTCGGAAAGTGTTGGTCGTCAATATGTGGAGTCGTAATATTGGAGTATGGCAGGATTTTCACATAACTGGCCTTGAAGTAATTGAAACACGTCCATATTTTTAAATAGTCCAGTAATAATTTTGCTGTGATGTTATCAAAAAAATTTTTTAATATTTTATAGTTGTACTGTACTGTAATATTTTTTGGTGTTCCAGAAAAAATGAACATCGAGTGGAAAAAAAATTGTGTAGGATGAAAAATATTGTATTTTAGTGATTTATTTTCCTAACTATCTATATACATGCTATTTGCATGTGGAACGGATTTAAATTTTTATCTAAAAATTTTTGATTTTAGGGTTCTGACTTGGTATCAAAAAGAGATGAAGGAAATGTGGTTTTTCGTGTTGGTGATTTTTCACTAGATGGTTATCCAGATTTAATTGCTCTTGTTCGAGAAAAAACGCAAAATCCCATGATTCTAGAAAACGTGCCATGCACAGATTGTATTTCTAATGCATCTAGGTACACTTATTTATTCTTGCATGATTAGGTTGGTCATTTCAATTTGTTTCCAGTAGTTCATATTCTTGTAATCATTACTAATAATAATAAATTTGGATGATTGTTTTCAAGTAGATAGATATTTCTCTTTCAATTAAGTAATATTTATGCATTTTAAAAATTATTGTAAATTAGGAGGTTTGAATTGCGTACAAGTCCGAGGCTTATTCAGCCTGCCGATGTTTCTTTGGGACAGATCCAGTTAGCGTCATTTTTTGATTTGAAAGAAGATGGAACCCTTGATGTTGTTCTGGAATACAAAGACGCTGATCAAAGTATGGCTGTTGATTTCATCAAATGCGAAGACAAGGGGGATACGACGTTCCTAAAAGTGCAAGTATTTTCAAGTTCTTGTGATCAGTTTTGTGGTTCAACAAAGACCAAAATTGGTATCTTTTTTCTTGTTATTTGAACAGTGATTATCGTCATTAAATAATGTAATCCAGAAAATATATAATAGAAATTTGGAATCGGTTTGCTATTAGATATTTAGATCTGACTCGTGTTTGAGTATTCATAGTAATCCATTATTCAGAGTCAAGTAGTGCTATTCTTTTGCTCTCATAAGTTGCAGCTAAAAATTACTTAAAATACGAAAGTGTGAATATATTAAAAATTTCTTAATTTTATTCTTAGGTAGTGGAATTGCATGGCACGGAGCTTGTGTAATGTTCATTATGTCCGATTCATGGGGTCACGATCAGGTTGGGTCACAGTGTCAAATGCCACAAACCACTCATCGTGCGCTTCACACACCATTTGCTTTATTCGGTCTAGGAAGGTCACCGAATTTTGTTGATTACGGTAAAGATTTCATATCCTTGTTTGGATTATAGAGTTTCATGTCCTTGTTTGGATTATAAACTTTATGCAGCGATGAAACAATGAAGTGACGCTGCAGAGCGGTTTTCATTACTGTTTGTGTCGCAAACATTTAGCTATTGCATTTGATGATAAGTAGAAATTTATAGTGCATGTTGGTTCGCCGCGTATGCCACTGATAAATCGCGTAAATTATGGAAATCAACATTATTACCTGAAACAAATAGTGCCTAACTCGCGGCTGATTGTAGTGCCGCCGAAAGATGATGGAATATACTGGCAAAGCAGACTATATCTCACTCCTAGTCAGGTTTGTTTTTTACATTAAAGTTGTGGAAAGCAGAAGGTTGGTGCGTAATACGCATTTCATTTTCGAGTGCTTCAAAAATTGGGAGCTTCAGTGTGAAACGAAATGAATACAAGCGTTTAAGAGCTTGTAAACGTTATGGTTTTTATATCTGCTTATGACATTTGTGCCATAAATAATCTTTAGTGTTGTTTTATTAATTTAGCTGATTTTTGCCTAGGTCAGGTCACCGCATCCTAATGTGAGAAAGGTCTTCAATTGAATTGAGAATAATATCATGCTAATTAGCAGGATGTGTTTAGCAGAGAACAGAAGAGTTTTATATTGAAAACGACCATGTAGAAATAACATTAAAGAATGTAAAATCTAACGCGTATTCACTTTTGTTCAACTGTATTTTCTTGTGCTCTTGCTCTCTGCTACAAGTATGTGATTGCTCGCATTGCTCTCACTCTCTTGCTCTCTACCTACAAATCGATCGATTTGTATGGGCGTTTCCCGCCTTTTTGCTGTTGTCTTTGCAGAGGGGTCATGATGTGATGTTATCTGCTAGCACAGAAGCAGCTCAGTCCATAGCTATACTTATCGAGTAGAGCTGTTGTTGTTTGTTATTCCTCTTTCAGGTCAGGTACGTAATGGATATCGACAGTCTTCTCTTTTGAGATATGTCTAGTTCAAAATATTTTTGTGCTAGCATTCTTTTACTTAGCTCTACAAATGAGCAGTGGTAACATGTGCAGATGTGATCTGCTTACAGAAGTTATCTATCTTTCAGCTGATAATACAGTCGTTGATGGTATTGGTGTCAGTTTGCGTGATACTTTTACTGGTCGCATCCTTCCTGCATTATCGAGAAAGACGTGCTGATAAACATGAACGACAGGCACAGTCTCATCGTTTTCATTTTGATGCTATGTAATTGTGTTTATGAATCAGATTTTGGTGATATACCCTTCCCTGTAAGTGTTAGCGAGATTTATTTGTGCTTAGTGTGTCTCGATCTGATTGTAATATGGTATCAGGAGATGGATATTTTAAAGTGTTGTATGATATTCAATCTTAAGAAACGAAGCATTCGAAGAGTGTGAAAGAATTTTAATTTGATACCCTTTAGCTCGTACTCATTCACCATTACATGTTCCATGGTGTATTTCATCGCGATGCTTCTGGTGCTCTTTCCTTCATTTTTACTATCTCATTTATCTTTCTGTAATCTGTTCATGCGAGGGATGTAGACATAAGGCGCTGTGAATAACAGCAGCATATTCATGTCGATGTTTCATGAACAAAGTGATTGTTTAAACACCAGAAATGGCTAAGCAGCGTTAGAAGTCTCATTCGTCCTTCTCTGTTCCCAAGTGTGGAATAGTTTCTTCATTGCCATATGTATATTTTTTTTACATGTAGAGTAAGTGGCTGTATATATGCACTCAATTTTGTAGTAGCTTCATGAGCTCTCTCTTTGTTCATCTAAACCGTGTCTGTGACGAAAAAAAGTGAAATGCTAAGTACAGATGCTATGTTCTTAGTAAAATGTGTAGGATAAAGGATGTCTGTAAAGAAAGCAATTTTATAGCAGCGAAAGAAAGGAGAAATTAATCCTATCAACATCTGATGCATCAGACACTTTCATGTGCTGCATATGTTTTATATATCTAAATTCTAAATTTATTCTTTTGGTGTGAACAATGTTGAAAATCACATTTTGAATTACGTTTTTGAAATGCCCCTATTTTCTCTCCAACAATTGGATGATGACTGGTTTTTTTTCTGCTAAACTGTTTTTCATTTTGTAATTTTCTGAATGTACTTACTGCGATGTTACTTGGCCTTTTTCCAATATTTGCTTCATTGTGTTCAAAATTTTCAGGGGCCAGAAACCGAGATTCTCTGCTTTTATATTTTCCCTTCTCAAGTGAACTAATGAAGTTTTTATTAGGAATTCTAGAATAATCGTTCATATTTGCAACGTTTGGCATTTTCTGGATCTTTCCACCAACTTTTTAAGATGTCATATTTTTATCCACTTGTGATTGAAACATAAAATGACTACATCAAGTACCTGATTCTGGTATCATTTCCTAACAAATTAGATATCTTACAAAATTAATTTCTGTGAGTTCATATGTTTATTATTAGATTTTCATTTGGGAATCATTCCTTTGACAAGCTGTGTATATTCTCATTGTGTTTTTTCATCATTAAGTTATGCAGAATAAATCTTGTTTCGTTGTTACTGATGTTTCTGATAAACTATGGGATTCGTAACCTTTATTTTCGAGCAAGGCGATCAAGTACTTAGATTTGTCAGGATGTGCGTTAGGTAGATTAAATCTGGGATATATTGTTGCAGTACATGTATAATTTGATTAGGAATTTTGAAGTTTCTAAATATTTTTTCTGAGAATTCAAGATGACTTTTGTGAGTTCATATGTTTATTATACCATGTGTTGATAAGAAGTAGCCTCAGGAGAAGGTATAATCGATCATATTTTATGAATTTGTTTACAGTAAATTTTTTGTTCGGAATATTCTTGTATATGTTGTAGTAATTATGTTCTTAAAACATATCAGTTAGTTATAGATATGAGTAATGCTATTGGTGATTGCGTGATTTGTCTGCGAAATTTAGAAATGTTTAATTTTTCTTCACTACCATGCGGACATACCTTTCACTACTCTTGCATATTGCGGTGGTTGAAGGTAAGGAACTGTTTCTCTATAGATGTTGCTCTTTCATGAAATTTTGTGAAATATGCAGATTCCTGATATTGTATTTGGGTCATCTTTAGTAAGTGAAATGGAGGTTGGGTTAGTTATCTGTAGATATGATTTTTGTACGACAATTTCACTTTTAATTTTGTGCTGTTGGCCAAAAATATAGCATTTCTACTTATTCAAATTACATTCTTAATTGCTTTGTCAAACTGAGCATATTTATGCATTTTAAATTTCTGATTGGCGATACTTTGTTGGCAAAGATTGCATTAAGTTTTATCTAGATATATTTTGATGTTTCGAATAAGCGTGTTATCACTTTCTTTAAAATCAGTTCCATATTGTGATCTAACTACTTTTTGTGTTCTCAGCGTTCCAAGAAATGTCCTACTTGCCGTGCAAAAACGATACCGAAGAATATTGTAAAACGTTTATACTTCTCCAACTTTGGAAATGAGTCCTCAGACTCTGTCGAAAGTTCCACTCTTGTTGCCGCACAAAATGTTGGTAACGAATACTATATTATTAGACATGTATTCCATGCAGCTTTGACATATTTATAAAGTTCGACAATTTATTTATATAAATTTGATTGCAGCTAGATATAAAAATTCATGAGATTCGTCATTCACTGAAAAATATTTAATTTGTACATTGAAGTATATGTAACTTTTTTTAGTGAATTATTTCATGTATGCTTTTTGAAGAAAGTACAAGAATTTTTTCTTTAATTTGCTTTTTTCAGGTTAATACTCTCGTCTCATCGATGCCGGGTATTGGGGAAATGATGGGGTCTAATGGAAGCATTGATAATACTGATACTTCTTTTGTTGATGAGGACTATGATGATATTCGTAGTTATTTTTATATTATTTGATGTGAAAATATGGGGTTTTATTTTTTTTAAAGATTTGGATTCATTAAGTTTAGTGAAGCTATATTATGACATTGTGTTCGTATTTGTATTTTCTTAGACGATGAAGACGATGAAAATGAATTAATGGACACTTCCGATACAAATGCCGATAGCTGGGATGATAGTGACGAAAGTATCGATACAGATGACAGTGACGGAAGTATAAGTGAGGAAGATGACCATTTTGGTGATGATAGTGACCAAAGTATGGTTACGGAAGATGATCAATTTTTGGAAGATAGTGACCGAAGTGTGATTGAGGAGAACGATCATCCATTAGAAGGTGATTGTCGAAAAATTATATTAAATCTTGATAATCTTATGAAAAATGGTGATGGAAGTATAGATACTGTATATGGTGGTCTTTGCAATGCAGAACACGAAGTAATTTACAGATGTTGTCTCTGCAGAACTATACCAAAATGTTAGTTCAGGAAGTAGTAACTATGTGGATAAAGAGTCGCAGACAGATCTTCAAAGTCAAATACTTGCTTTTTATGGAGGTAATTGAATTTTAACAATAAAACTATGATATACTTTGAAAATGAAATATGAGAATTGTCTTGATCTTTTTAGTATTGCCAACCAATTTTTAATACGTTTCTGAACGTAGCGTAGTTTCAAAATCTTTAGAAAAACATATTTTAAGAAAATTTTGTACGATGTGTACAGAGTAGTGTTGTCTTTTAGAATTGGCAAGTGGGTCTGAAACTTCATTCAGTGACGCATCGCCCTTTACTAGCACCACGTTTTCTGATTCTTCTTATGATTCAGACGGGGTCAGGATGCGTGGTCTCAGCTTTGATGAATCAGATAGAGCCGGGTTTCGTAAGCTTATACATGAAGGAGTGTATGATCCATTTTTATTTAAAGATGACTGAGAGATAATGTATTCAGCCTTATTATTAGTTTCGTATTTGAATTTCTAATCAGGTTGATGATGGTAGTCATTAGCATTTTGAATTAATAGGTTATTTTTAGTTAGTTCGTTTATTGTTACAACTATTAGAGTTAATTATGACTTAAATTATTACTGATTAGAGTTCCAGTTTTTAGTGCATTTTAGTGTATGAGAGCAGATGCCATCACTTTTTGATATATTCTAGCATCTACTTTGAAGATGTTTTATTTTCCTGCCCATGAAGATATTGTATTTTTTCTGAGTTTTACCTGTCCCTTGTGTCACTGCTTCTGCCTTTTCGCATTGTTTCCTCTTATTTGACAGGTTATCGTCACGTCATTGTCCTTAATGATTGCGACTTCCAGTGTCAGTTTTTGGCATTGAGATTGAAGATTTTTATTTAATTCTGTTGGTAGCTTTACTTAACAGCATACTTGTACTATTTTCTTGTATCTTCGAAATGACTTTGTGTTGGAAAAATATGCAAGAAAATGTCGGGGCTTCACATTTAAATTTTAATTTATATCTTGTATAAGCTTGGAAAATGCTCTTTCTTTCTTATTTCTGGTGGTTGCTGATGTGATTAAATAGTTGTAAATTGTTTTCGCCTTCCAAATCTACAAACATTTTAACTTATTCTAGTAAGGTTTAAAAAATTGATCTTCAATTTCTTGTTGTGAAGATATTCAGAAGGATGAGTGCTTGATGGGACAGAACTATGATTCGTTCTTTTCCTCATCGTCCTTAATAAATTTCAATCATTGTCAGCTCTACGTTTTATTTTTTATATTTGTAGCAAATAAGCATGGAAAGTGTCGGAATTTCATATAAGACTAACAACTATTACCTGACTACGCTATCTGTTCAATGATGTTTGTCGTGAAACTTGCAAGTAATCAATTACGCAAAGTCGCGAGAGCATATCTTCTGTACATTAATTCTTTATTACTCGGTGTCCACTTGTAATATTACTAGAGAGTGTTTGAATGTTATTGATTTAAAAAAAGGAACAATAAAAGCTTTCTGATATGAGGAGAGTGACACAGGTGGGTCACCACTATCTTGCCAATTTTCACTGACTTTGGTAAGTACTTTGCTGATCAACAAACAAGGAGTACACAGTAGCGTTCGTCTCGTCCGATGCAGTTATTTACCATCGTGTGATTGTGGTTGCAAACTAAACTCATCGTTATCGACTGTCATTATTAGCATTGAGCTAACAGTTCAACAAACAAGAAATACTTCCTAGTACCCACAATAGCTCTTGATGTACTTACCACGAATTATTTTAATTTCCTTGCTTTGATGTGAGGATGGAAAGTGAATTTTACTCGTAATTTTTCAGCATTTCAGTACTTTATTTTTATTTCCAAAGATTGCTTTTTTTGCATTATTTAATTATTTTTCATGTCAATTTTATTTAAGCATCTTTCAATTGTTCTCTTGCAAAAGACTATCAATTTGAAGTGAAATCCACTGAATCCTTGTGGTATTAGAATTAGCCTTTTGAGAAGCAGTTAGGTGCAGAATGGTTTGCAAAAATTATTCACTAGATTTTCAACGAAGAATCAAGTTACAATTTGCCATTATTTTTCTTTGAAACATTCGTTTCCAGCTACCTATCTGTTCACTTTTACTGAAACGAAACCGGTCATTATTCACCATATTTATTGATTAGTATGAAATAAAAACGTGCAAGCAAAAATATCCTTGCAGCTTTGAAGAATTTGGAGACACATGATATATTGTTCTAATTTTTTTGATTTGAATTAACACTTTTTTCTATTGTGAATGGAACATTGTGATGGAAAGATTGGATTTTTGGTTGGAATCTGGTAACAGAAGGTGTTTGGAGACATTCTGATTCTAAATTAGAAAAGGAAAATAGAAAAATAGAAAGTATTTCTGATTGTCCTCGAAAAGAAGGAAGGGAAACGAAGAATATTTTCTACTCTTTTATAAATTTTAATTGCAAGATCTCTAGAAATCTCCAAATAATGGACATTCTAAAACAGTTATAACAAATTTTCAAAGCTATTCACTATCAATGTTATTGAATTTTCAATTCATATATATAACTAAGTTCTAACTTAATACATATATTGTTTATATATATTAAATTAGAAAAAATTTAATATATAAATAATTCTCAGCCTTATACATATATTTAATATAGTTGTTGTGCTGTTGTTGTTGCTGTTGTTATGTACATTGAAAACGACAAATGAAACCTTTTCTGTCTTTCTGGTAGAATTTCTCCTAATAAAGAATAAATGCAAGCAGCTTTCATCTGTTAGCAAATCCCTTTTTAACCTTTGCACTTTCTTCTCTGACATTTTTAGATGTATACATATTTGCTGTGTGCTAATCAAAACTCAAAACCTTCAATCATTGAAAGGAAATTTACAAAAACAATTGTCATTCGCTATTGGCTATCCATTATTTCCAGTATCATGCAAATCATTAAATTTTAACAAACCTTTTCCATGCCGTAAAATGTTGAAAATTTTTACTTCTCCATCGATTTTGTTCAAAATTTGGTTAAACTGAGCACTGAAATCGTTTGCACACCGATTCGCAGGGCGATCAGATGAGATTTGTTGGATTTCCGTAATACTGCAATTTCAGCGGGGTGAAGAACACTACAACTACAATAAATGAATCGTCATTCTGTGGTTAAACTTTTATTCACTCTGTCCAGCCAGCCATAGAGCAATTATTTTTATTCACTTCATTAATATGAAGTGAAACCACCAGTCCATCAGGTATCTTTCCTTTTTTCTCATACTGATTTCATTTCAGCAATTCATGCTGAATTTACTGAGCTTATAATTAATAACCTTTTTTAGCATCCATTTTCAATTTTTTTGTGAATTACTGCAAATTTTTCACTTTAATTTCTGCTATTATTTTATACTGCATGTTTTCTTATTTAGTTTCGCATCCAAAATTTTCAAAATTTTTCACTCTTTTCATGCAAGAGTTTTGTATAATTGGCTTCATTAATTATATATAATGTTGTTGTTCACTGACTCAATCAAACGAATAATAGATGATAATAAGTGCTATGCAGAGAAAAGCAATATGGTTAATGTTAGAAAATGACATATAAATTGCAATCATATGGAAGAACTATATATTCTTACAAGCATATCTAATTAATTAAGTAATAATTGATGGCTTAATTAATAAATAGCATATCAATTTATTTAATTAATTATGAGCATTCATACCTATCAATTTTTTCAGTAATATGATTCATGTAATGCGCACAAGCACTGTCAAAGTATGCTTTTTTTCTGATAAATGATGAAAAGATCAAAATAAGCACTGAAAAATGCACAAAGTTTTGAGTTTGGATCTCACTGAAAACGACAAATGAAACCTTTTCTGTCTTTCTGGTAGATTTCTTCTAATAAAGAATAAATGAAAGCTGTTTTCATCAGTTAACAACTTCTGATTTAAGCTTTGCACTTTCTTCTCTGCGACATTTTAGTTTTTGATGCTAATAATCACTTTGCTTCAATTCAAGATTGTGCAAGTGAGTTTAACAAACTTGTTGTCCATTTTGGCAAATTTTTTGTATTTTTAATTCAATTACCTGTTTTTTTGACTTGCAAGGTGTGTCAGTGATTATCAAATATTTGTACACATTTACTGCCTAATTCTAACTTTATTTTACTGCTAAACTAATAACTTTGTATCAATTATTATTAGTTTATTATTTCCATTGAATAAATTTCATATGCCCTTCTTTGCGTCAAATATACTCTTTAAAAATGGTATGGAATGTTGACCGGAAAATTGAATTACAATCTTGGTTTCCAGCACTAAACTTTCATTTTTATTAACGCAAAGATCTTTATTTTCGGTGATAAAAAGTTCATTACTGAAGGCAATTTTTTTTCACTTGGAGAATATCTGACTACTTCTAGTGACAGCCATAATTACACTGTTCCATCAGTATTTTTCTTTGATTGAACGGGTATTCAATTTTTCTCATTTTCGCTATATTCGGAAAAATGAACGTAGAGTCTGAAAAACAGTTGCACATTGTAATTAAATAAGTGCAATCATAACAGCAATGTTTATCACTGTTTGATCGAAATAAAAGAATTGCTTGGCGATTACAACAACCATTACTTCTTTTTTAAATATTTTATAAAACAGGAAGATTTTTTACATTTCTGTGTTAATTTAATGCTAATCATAACTTTCAAAAATTTACTTTTTTCATTGAAAAAATAGAAACATTCATCAAAATGCGGTTGCTTAAATAAGTGAGTGGCGATGCACTTTATAGAACTTTCTGTAATCTGCTCAAATATTGTATTGCAACGCCAGAATCACCTTTCTCCCTCTGTCGTTTCTGTTAATGAATTAGTGATTTTTGCCTAAAGATAGTTATACGATCGCATAGTATTGTAAATTGTCTTCACTTTTGAGTAAAAAACATTGCATTTAGAATCACACGCATTTCGCACTTCTATGATACACAGTTTCTGACTCGGAATTGAAATGCAGTAGACATTTTTCATCGTTTGCTCCTTAAATTCATTGAGTTATTCACAATGACAGACTACAACTTAGTTGAAAAACTACTTTTTTTAAATGAAAAACAAAAAATTTGAGCCTAAATTATCGAAAGAAAAATTTTTCCTTTTTTATGTAACTTAAATGTCACCTTTAATTTCTCCATTTATCACTGAAAATGTTTTTTATTTGTTTGGAGAGTACTTTTAAGATGTAAAAATTTAGTCAGTTAAAAAGGCACCACATCATATTGTACTTAATAATTTTGACTATTGGGAAAAATAAATATGGCAACCTTTAAATTGTGAACAAATTAAAATTTAGAGATGAGAGTCAAAGGTTAAGTTGAAAGCGAATAATATTTTCGAGCAAATAAAGTTCAGACTTAATTATAGACCAAATTAAGCTAATATTGAATTTATTTTTCTGATTTCTAGATCAATGTACGCTTCAGCTAATCGCTATTTAGCTGAAAGTATTGCGTCACATCCAACACATTTCATCGTTTTAACTCTTGTAATATCGGCACTTTTGTCATTATCACTGTTTAACTGTACTTGGGAAGATGATATTCGAAGAGGCTTTTCATCTCCTAAATCTCGCGCAGCCAAGTTAGTTTTAACATTTATACTTTATATTTATTCTTCATCCGAGATCTTGTTTATCACTAATATTGACTTTCACAGTAACTTGTCTGCTGTCACATTTGCTATCAAGCTATGGCTTCTTTTATATCGAAAATATTGCTATTTTATATTTTTCATTCACTGCCTTTTTTCTATTTTTTTAGCCAAAAGTGACACAAAGAACAACAGTTAAATATCAAATAGTGAATGCCTGTTTACTGTTATACTTGAGTACTTGTTATGAATCGAATTTCCCTCTCAAGTTGTATTTTAATTTAAGTATGCGCCATCCGAACAGAATGAAATTAATAAATGGTTTCTTTGGTATAAATGTTTTTTGTAAATAAACAAAAAGTAAAATAGAACAGAAATTTATAACGTTGTTACTTGAAGTCATGATTATTCTTTATTTCATTCAATCATCTCACAATTATCAGTTGGAATTGATGATCATAGAATTTGGAAAAAGACCATTTTTGAATATTTCCTTTCCATCTTTCTTTTAACCAGTTCTCTGCATTAATTAAACTCGTTGCTGAACAAGTTTTGTTCTGGTTATTTACTGATCGTTTTATTGCGGATAGTAATTATAGTGCTACCAAAATTTCTGAAAAAGTTTACTAAATTTGCCGATATAGAAAGTCTTACTTTCCTTAATCTGATGATTTGACGCAGGCCAGAATTGAGTTCACAGGTAGTCAAAGATTAAGTTGTATTTTAACTAAATTAAACTGCTTACTATTATTTAGATTTCTTCGATGTGCGAATTGTTCTAATAACGACAAGAATTTACAGAAAAATTATCTCCAAGAACTATACAAATTTACAAAAATACATAAATTCCTTCCAAAAGTTTTAAGCTTTTTTTTTATTCATTCATAATGCACTATATATTTTTAATAAGTTTTAATAAGGTAATAAGTTTTAATACCAGAAAAATCTATTTTGTATTGTACTTTGCAAAGACATCATACTGCTAACAAAAAATAAAACTACAAACTATTTTTAGAAAATGCTTTTTTTAAGCGGGAAAAATTTAAAAAGATTGCACAGTTGTGATTATAGCATGTAATCAGTATTGAATGCATTATATATATATATATAACAAAGTCAAACTTTTAAATAAAATTAAACTGAAAAAGTATACAGAAATTAAGTATATTGAATAGATCTGCAGACTGTAAATAAATGTAAAAATTATTACTTTGTAGAGAGGAAGCAGTCTTTCTACAGTTCTACAACATTACAAATGTGCCATGGCATTTAGTTTTACTATTTGAAGCCAAAGATGGTGGAACGATGTTGCGTGAAAATCATATGCAGGAAATGTACAAAATTGATAAAGACATCTATGATGCATTTAATGCAGTCCATTTTGCCAGACCAATTTGTTATCCATTTTGTCATGTGAATATGCCAGTTAAATTTTTTTGGGTAATTCCTCCAAACTTATTCTTTCTACTCATTTTACTTACTTGCTTACGTGAGTATTAACTTCAGTCGCTTGGAAACATTTTTCAGAACTGCTATTTTGACCTGTAACAAACATAGCAAGCAAATTCATAGATGTTGTCACAATTGAGACCGAATCTATTATTATATTTCCATAATTCAAAATTATAATTTACAAAGTTGCCAAAATTTGAATATAAGAAAAAAAAGCTCACTGTCCAGTATAAAATTCAAAATCATCCTGAGAATTTCACATTCTTTAATAAGAATTTCAAAGATTTGAAATAAATATTTTTGAAGTAAGATTTGAACTGAAATTTGATACAACCCAATATTGAACGGACAGTGAAGCTCTCAGTAATAGCACTTATAGCAAAAAATGAACTTTAATTATTGTAGTAAACAGCTTTGTTTTTGTCAGAAATTGCAGTCTTGCTTGTTAGAGCTAGAAGTTCAAAAGACCATTATACAAAATGCGGAGTTAAATTTTGCATAAATTTGATAATAGGTGATAATCATCAAAAACAATGAATTAAGAAAGCAAATAATAAACATATACTAACGTGGATGAAATAATAAACTAATAAATTTCTAGGAAGAATTCAGCAGAGATAAAAATCGTACAGAGAGTTATGACGACAATAATTCAATTTTTGCATTTCCGACGTCAACTATTTTAGATCAAGAAGTATTTCTCGGAGCGAATCTGTTCGGTGTACAATATTCGGGTTATATTTTCAGATTCTTAAACAGTTTATTGTATTTTTTCTTGGCTATTAAAATAATGCGGGATTTTTATGTGTTGAATTCTGCTTTTCGTTACAAACTTTTATTTTATGTATGTAACGAAATGTAGAGTTTTATGCCATTTCCATACTAAATAGCAAAATTTAGTTCAACAGTTTTTTATATTATTTTCTAATCATACTTTCAGATCATTTCTAGATAAAATTTTCACAAATCGATCCAACATCATACGAGTGAATACTATTACGCTGTGGTACTCTGCCTATATCGATGATCCATTCAAAAATCAAATATTCAAAAACATTACTGTAGGATTATTCGCAATGAGTAAAATAAACAATGCTACAAAATGGATTAATTTCAAAGTTTTTGGCGATGAAATTGCTAATCGCGAAATGATTCAAGGAGCTATTCAAGTGAGCAATTTGCAGTGAATGAAATTAAGCTTTTCCACTATAAACTTGCAAAATTGATGAAAATTCTGCTTCATAATGTGACAGAACTGGTTGTTACTTTCAAAACATAATTTTGAATGTAATTTTTCAGTATATTTAGTTTCATTGCTGCCTTGAAACCATTTTGTAAAGACATACAATTAAAAAGTAGAAATAGCATAAAATATACCATCAAATGTGCAACACATAGCATATAGCGAAACACTATTATTGCTTGTCTTTGCAAGATTTTGTTGGCTTTCTGATTCAAATATCAAAATATTGTTTCAAAATAGCGGAAAAACTGCATAAATTTAATAAAATCATAGATAGCATTTTTCTGACTTAGTTAAATTTGAAAGCAACTATCTATCAGCCACATTTTGTCACAATCTGTCTAAACTGCAGCACGCTAATTTTATGCTATACCAGCACTCAATTGCAAACCATGCAATTTTGTTGACTGTGCCAATTAATTTATTTTAGAAACTGCAATCAATTGTATAAAATATGTATTATGCAGTAAGTAATTTGAATATTAAATTAATTTAGCTGGATGATTGCTTGAGCTTTTCTGATTAACAAAAGTTTGTTACAAGGCTGTTCGATAAGTGTTTTGTAGGCTACAAAGTTGATGCTATTCGGATTCCTTCTGTTGCTTACTTTTGTATTCATCGTTGTATACATCAAGATAGAGCTATCATCTATTCCACAAATCATTTTTGCCATCCTTTCGCCACCAATTATTGCCTCAGTTGTTTCCTTCGCGATTGTTTGCTGGATGAATTTTCCTTTCTATTCAATCATGTGCGTTACGCCATTTTTGGTAATTGGAATCGGTATGCTCCATTTACAGTTATAAATTACCTCAATTACCTCAGTTTTGGTTAATAATCTTATCAGTTTTAGAATTCAAAACACTCATTTCTTTTAAATTAGTGGGAAATTTGCATTTTATTAAATTGACAATTTCTGTCTGAATATATATGTAAAATCCAAATTAATTAAAGTAGAAAAAATTGCAATTGCTATTTTCGTATCATTTGTATGAAAATTTTTAAATTATCAAACGAGTAAGTTACATACTCACTGTACTGTGAGTGTGAAGAAATAAATTAAGCACTCTACATTAGATCACTGCGAGCGAAGAATTGTAATGGAACGTTGCTGAAGTATTCAGAAGATGAATTTACTTGTAAAATTTATTGTTCCATACTTGAATCTTGAGTGCCGTTCTAAATATATTTCTAGGACAAACCTGATTTGAATTGTAAAAAATGCGTATACAAGCACTGCTTACTTTTGTTATTTACTTATGTTGCTGAAATAGTCAAAGGTCAAATAGCTGCTATTTGACCTTTGATTGCTTGTGAATGTTTTAAACAAACTGCACCAACTACATAGATATGATTCATTTATTGCTTTAATAATTCATTTTCATGTAAATTGCAGGAGTGGACGATTCATTTATTATGATGCAAGTCTGGTGTCGATTTGGGAAAATAGTATGCCGAAAGGAGCGATTAATTCGAGTATTCAATGAAATCGGTCCATCAGTTAGTATTACATCGATAACTAATATGGTCGCCTTTGGTATTGGTTACTTTACACCAACTCCACAGGTAAGATTTTATGCAAATGGTGCATTATTCCGAGTACTGAAAATGCGTATAATTATTGAAGTGAAAAGTAAGAGTAACATAAGCATATAAAGCAGCCAAAAGTCAGAGAGTGATTTGAAAAATCTTTTAAAATTTTTATAAACTTTCATTTCACTGAAGGATTATTCGTTGACTGATTTATTCATTGTTAAGATTTATCATTTAAGTTATTATTACTTTGTAATATAATAATAAACTTTGAAGTAGCATTGCATTCAACTTTGTCTATTTTGTCGTCAATCTTTTCGCCAGTTCAGTCTTTTCCCAAAAACAGTAAAAAATATATTTATTATCATTCCTTGCATGTGAACTTATTATCGCTAAATTCAAATCATTAGTTTTCAGATGAGCTTATTCTGTTTGTGTACATCACTGGCTTGTTTCTTTGATTATATCTTCACATTCACTCTTTTCGCTCCAATTATTTGCATGGCTAAAAGCAAAAACAATAATGGCTACACAGCACCTTTAATCAAACTGTCGAGACGTGAAAAAGTATGCAGTTTTGAGAATGAGATCTCAATAACCAATTAGTTTTCAATTTCGTTAATTTTTACAATAAATTTTAGCGAATAAAGCATTTTATTGCGAGTTACTGCAAAATGATCTGTTCACGAACAGGTCGAATATCGGTAATATTTTTGCTAATGGTACTGTACACACTATCAACACTTGGAGTGGCAAAAATGAAGTCAACTTTTGAACCTCCAAAAGCATTTCCATCTGATTCACTGCTAACGCAATCTTACGAAAGAATCAGGCAAATTCAATTTTCCTACCAGCTATCATTTATTACATCATTTCCTTAATTTTGCTTACTGATTATTTAAATCATATACTAACACTACTTTGGGCTCTGAAAACTGAAGATATCAATTATTAATATTTAATCACTTCTCTGGTTATCTCACTACCCGTTCTATTCCAAAATTTCTTGCTGTTAGACGAGTTCAAACTAGATTTTTAGTTACTTATCAAAAAAGGCATTTAAAAAAACGGATCACCAGCGTTATTATTTACGAGTTTTTGCGATATTTAACGAATTCAAACTTATATTAATTAGCACTAGCAAAATTTTCAGTGCTTAAAAGTTCCATCTAAAAAAACCTGGCATCTTTAGGCGTATTTTCGATGATTTTTTCCCTCTACAAATTTTCATCAATCAACCGCCAGATATTAGCAATTCATCACAAGTTTGTTGATTTTGAGTTTTTGTCTCCGCTAGTTTATGTTAACTGATCATTTTGTGAAGGATCTTCACAATTAAAAATATGAATATACTTACACTCCTATGAAAAAGCAGCTGAGTCTATATTTTAATTTCCAGTACAACGATTTTTACGATATGGTTAAGAATCTTGAGGCAGTACCATACAGCTTAGGAGTAAATAAAACGATGGTATTCTTGAAGGCATATGAAATCTTTGATCATAAAATACATAATTTCTTGCATACGTTGGGTCTTATCGATGCAGAACATTTCAAGCCGTCATATGATAATTTACCAATATTTGTGGATCACATTCAAAATCCAACATTCATCAAAATGACAACCGATGAAAAGTTAGTGCTGGTATAGAGTTAAAAATAGCTTTTCAAGCTTTGATGATACGAAAAATATAATCTGTACTCAAAATTAAACCAGTTTGGGCCATGGAACCATCCAAAAAATAAATTATCTCAGCAAAAAAATTTGCCTAATGAATCATACAACACGTCATTGCAGTGTAAAATATTCACAGCGAAGATAAGATTAAGTTGATTAGCCGACAGTCGGAAAAAATACATAACTTACTAACACAATACCGTGCGGTAATATATGTCGTTTTTACAGTACTGTCACGTGTGCTGTGCACACGCGTTATAGACAGCAAAATTGAAAAAATTTACTCGTCAAAATGAATGAGAACTTTAGGATGAGAAAGGCAGAAGAAAAGCACAGAAGCCATCTGATTAGGGACAGTGCACTGAAGCAAACCAAACTGAAACTAATAGCACTCAGTGAAGAAAAATGCATTCCATGAATTGCTTCAACTTAAATCCTTCATTTCATCGCTATAAGCACTTTTGCTACAGTGCATCTCATCACAAAATAATATACGATTTAGGCAAAGAATTAATTCGAAAATTACAAATTCTACTCATTTATTTCTACATCAATTTAGCAGTAAACTTATTATTGACAGTGTACTGTGTTGACTATTAAATTATTATGAAAAAATTTACAGATTACAGAGTTAGCATTTCAAAGATAATAATCTTTATATGTCAATAAAAAGAATGTGACTGTAAGTGACCTACTCATTATTAAATCTTAAAAATAATAGTAGTACTAATGATAATAATAACTATAACATTATTATTATTGTTATTATTCATTATTGTTATTATTTAATTTCTTGTTCATATTTTCTATTATTATATATTATTAATTATCCACTATTTATTAAATGTTACCTAAGATTTATTAATATCATATATCATTATTTAATATTATTATTATTACTTATTATTTATTATCATTATTTATATAATAATTATTATTATTGTGTCGAGTTGAAAACAAAATGTGTGGCACGTGTCATTTTATGTTGCCATGAGAAAGCTACTTGCAGATAATTAATTAGAAATTGATACCCAAGTTTAAGATGCAAGGAAACAAGTACTGTTGGACCTGGCAATTTAGAGAGAGCACGGAAACTACGAGGTATGACATCAAAAAAGCGTTCGATTCAGTTAATCACAGATATCTGACTAAGTGCACTGAAAGGTTAAACTTGCCATCGTGTATCAGCAGGTTTCTGAGAAGCGTCACCTCCAGATCATCGGTTACATTGAAAAGCAATGGAGAAGAAAATGGAACGAGGAATTCGCCAAGGTGATAGCCATTCCTTCTGCTATTCGTCCTGTGCAAAGACGTGTATAAAGTACCCAAAGGTTTACAATTGATCAAGGATGCACATAACGAATCTCGTCGATCACAAAGATTTGATGATCTTACCGACGATGATATCATGAAATCTTGATGATCTCAAGATCTTTGCCACCGATGAGCATATTATCTTCAACATTGAGATCATCAAAATCTTTGCGACCGATAAGGATATCATGAAATCTATGGGAGAAGAAGTTGAAAGGTTTCTTGATGAGGTAGGACTAAAAGTAAATTCAGCAACGTCACTAGTAATGAGGTATGTGTGCTGACAAGATGGCGCTATTGAAAGGAACTCAGGGGTACAAATACTTTGGAATAGTGGAAGACACGACTAGTGCACCTGCCCATGAAATCTACGATAAAGTCCGTGCAGAAATTTTAGTGAAAATTGAACGATTAACCAAAACTACGCTAAACGGCAAGAACTTTATAAAGGCGGTGAATGAGCACGCCAAAAGTTCTAATAAATTATTGCATCTAGGTGCTCAAGCTGGAGCCGGAAGACTTCAAAGCTACAGACCACGAAATTAGACAGTTACTAATCAAATATGGAATTCACAAGCAACCTGCATGCTTGGAAAGACTGCACCTGCCAAGGGACGAACTAGGACGTGCACTTCATAGTGTTAAGCAGAAGAGTGAGCTTATGCTTCTCCAACTACATAATGTTCTTGTAGATACCGCACCCCCTTGTACCAGAAGGGCAGCGATTTTGAAGTAGGAGAAAGCTCATCACACGTAATTGGCAGTTATTGTACCCTATCTAATTCGTTGATTTATCAAAATCGCTACGATACGGAAACATTACCCCGCAAGATGAGGCACGATAATGTTATCTACAGGATAGAAATATGTTTGGAGGTGAGAAAGGTGTGTGCCAATATTGTGCTGAACGTGTGAAGACGGTGGACCATTTAGCAGGTGGACTATCTAGCAACGCAGTGCGAAAAAATGTTACATCATGACTATAATAAAAGACACAATGAGGTGGTCCTACGATGCATCCACTTGGGACTTCGCAAGAAGTATGGTCTGAAAGCATTCTCGCGCTTGCGAAGCCATTCTGTTCAGGAGGTCGTCGCGAATATATATCAGTGGGTGCGGTATCTACAAGAACATTATGTAGTTGGAGAAGCATAAGCTCATTTTTCTGCTCAACATTATGAAGTCCACGTTCTAGCTCGTCCTTGGCAGGTACAGTCTTTCCAAGCATGCAGGTTGCTTGTGAATTCTGTATTTGATTAGTAATTGTCTGATTTCGACGTAGAGATCAGAATCGACACACGAATGAGAACTGCTACAAAGATAAGTGTGGACAGACTGGATATTATGATATACGATAAAAGCGACGTGAAGTAATCCTGATAGAGGTTGACATCACTATTTAGAATGGGTTGACAGCGAGAAAAAAGAAAATGTGACCTAGTAGCTAATAAACTCGGGTCAGAGATGGAATGCAGGACCAAAATAATTACGAATGGGATGACTTGGATAAAATATTAGCGAACTTCCATATTGCACGCGAAAGAGATCAGTATATCTGATCGTTTGGACATATATTCAATCGATAGTCTCAAGAAGACGCTGGAACGCATCTCCTTCCATAATCGTATGGATTTCACGAGACGAAGCGAAAACGATCAATTTTGAGCGTAGGGCAAATACAGCCAGAATGCGGGAATACGTTCCCGTGCCAGAATCAATAAAGCGAAAAAGAAGACTAACCTTCATATTTTTTTCATTATTATTTATTTATTTATTATTATTACTAATATATAATTATTATTACTATTATTATACCATACAATAGCAAAGTTACCAGTTTTCTTGCGAACACTTTTATTATTAGGCTATAATACAAAATTAAACAAATTTTCATGACTATTATGTGAAATCAGTGATGGAATCATTATTTTACCAATTTCGAGGAAATTTCCATGTTCAGTCACTGAAAAGGCACTATTATTTATGATTATTATTAGAGTAAATATTATTTCTTAGAGTTCTCAAGTATTTTTTGAATAATGAAGTCATATATTTAGCAATCGGCGCAAAATGGTTGCGTTCAAAATTACAGCAGCTGGACGAAATCTTTCCGAATGGTCAAATCGTGCAGTATACGTAGATGCTTGTCGTACAGTTGTACATAAATATCCACAGTTTAATGCTACCGTTTACGACGGTTACTCTGCAATATTGGATTTGATACTTACATCAAAGAAAGATCTCATTGGATCAATTGCAGTAACGGTTGTTTGCTTGGCTACAGTATGCTTCTTCATCATCGAACAAAAAATTGGCGTGCTCATCATTGTTCTCACGATATCTTCCATTTGTTTTAGTTAGTAATGCAGTAAACTGTTTCTTAAATGGCATCTGATCATTTTATCAAGCCGATCAATAAAGATCGCTTCCATGCAAAAATAACAAACAGTTAACTTAGATCTGGTTGGCCTCCTGTCGTGGTGGGGAGCAGATATGGATCCAGTCACAATGATTGGTGTACTGATTGGCATGGGATTAAGCGTCGACTATACTGCCCACACTGCACACAAATTTTATATTTCAGTTGGTACTCCGAGGGAACGAATTGAACAAACTTTTCAAGAAATAAGTGCTGCAATGATTCAGGTAATTACCTTGGCTCAATTACCTAGTATTAAATTAACTCTCTGAAACTCAGTTAGCATCAATCGAGCCAACTGAAAATGGAAGGCTTGTTATGCTTCAGCTAAATTTCAATCGCAGTTGCAAGATTTTTCATGCCATCTCCCACTCACTACTGTAATAGAGATCCTATCTATACATTAACTGATATTTATTGTTTATAGCGTAACCTGAAGTCATACTTCATTGAAAACTTTATCATGTTGCAGGCCAGTATATCAACTGTACTTTGCATGTTACCATTAGCCTTCGTTGCCACTTATACAATCTTGATCCTCGCTAAAACGGTTTTTCTAGTCGTTGGTTTAGGCTTAATACACGGAATTTTTATCTTGCCCATTTTACTGGTAACAATGCACAATGAAAAAGAGAAAAATATGAGTGTAAATGAAACAATAGCGGATTCTTAGACAAAGTGCTAATCGAAAAATAATTCATCACATCGAAAAATGATTACCAACATAAAGTCAATTAAAAACAATATCCTTCAAATGTTAATAATTCTGCCAATTCAAACTTGTAATACAGATATATTCCCGATGAATATGTGGCGTGTACTACAGCATAAAAACTACAATTTCAACATCTTTCAAAAACTTTATACAAATCATGTAAATCTGCGATTCGCCGTAAAGAAGCAGCCAAGTTTTGAGGTGGCAAAAAGTTAGTTTTTAATGCTGGAAAAAGAATGTCTTGATAAACATTCTTCCACGATTGCTCTTCATTAGCAAATACAGAGGACTTATTTCCATCACAGAATCTCTTCTTAAGGCAAAAAAATTCAGCTAATGCCCAACATATTCGTTCAAAACAAGTTTGTTCCTAGAATTACAGAAACTTCATACGTAATTAATAAAATTCACAACTTATACCAGTTAATGAAAAACTTTGATCGGACTGCAATACCTTGTTTCTACTATAAAAATTACCAGCAATTCTGTTAAATTATGGCATATTTTTACAGTGACCAAATTTACAAACAAAAATTAACATACATCATCCCAAGTGACGTCATTTACCAATGTCATTATCAGCTGTGGAAGTGATTCAAGTTGTGGGATAAAACCGTTAATCAGCGATGGAATGGAATCGATATATCCATTGTCCGTGACAGAAAGACAAAAATAGTCATCTAACATTTCGCGATTCTCCACTATAATATTTGCTTTTGAGCAAGCTTCCATATCAGATATTTTGTCATCAGCAATGTGCAGCAATTCAATTAATGATGCTCTTTCACTTAATTTATAGGATCCATAATTTCCAAAAGATAGGACAAGAATCTGGAATCAAGATTAATATAAAAAATAAATAAATACAATTTCTAGCGATGAATGGAAATCTGAACCAAAATGTTGTTGTTGTTGATGACATCTTGAATAAATAAGTAAAAAATAATAATGCACTTTACTTCAAATTCCAATGAAATTTATTATTTTCTGAACATAATGTGCTGAAGTTTGTCCTTGAAAACTTTTCTAGATCAATTAATACGTGATTAATTCCAGCTTTTTTATTTGAATACAAATAAAAAAATTTCTGCATATTTTCAGAATAGTTTCTTCAATCACAAAAAAAACCTGGTAGAAGAAATTTCGCAAGCAATCTCGGGCATTCACCAAATAAATTGATGTTGAATGCTGGACTAGTACCTGATCGACGTTTATAGCTCCAATATAAGTATGTTCTTTGAACAATGAACGTAAGCTAACGGAAGCTACTGTACAAAGTGCTTTCTTCATTATTTGCAAAGATTTGAAATCAAATTTTCGCCAGTCATCGTGATTTGATTTCTCACTAAATATGTGAATTATAGACAGCAGCCTAATCGCAATTTGAAAAACTGGTAAGTTCTCAGACAGTATAGAATTTTTTTTGCACTGAACTCACTTTAACCAAGTCGTACGTACCTAAAATAGATTTTGTTACCACAACAAAAATGTTTCGAGTAAGTAATTGCAAAAAATATGCTGGTTTTTCCTGCAGTTGAAAAAGTAACTTCACATTGTGAAAACGGCATTCATCTATGCATTCCAGAGAAGTTAAAAATTATATACGATGAAAATTTGAAAAATTTCAATTTTATTTTGCTCTGATCCAGAATTTTCAATAATTTAGTGTCCGGTACTAAACAATTCTGAACAACCTTTCGACAATGGAATGTAGAGTCAAAATTACTACAAGAAAAAACTAGTTTTTAACTTTAAATATTAAAAGCATATGCAAACCAAACCTTGAAGTCAAAATGTTTGTCGAACATGCTGGAGTAGAAATTAACGTCTCCCTTGACACAAATTCTTCCAACCGTCTTTCTTTTGCATCTGTTCGCACCAGCTTAACAGATTTGAAGCTTAATTTTGACTGTTAAAAAAATTAATAACATCGAAATATCTAAAAACTAAAAATGAAATTAGCGCTGAAAAGAAGTTACATTTTGAAATAGTGAAAATATAAACCTTGTGAGCGTAAGTTTTTGGTGACGATTTAACATTGGAAGAAGGTGGAGGCCCACCAAGTGACTCCGAAACAAACATCGTCAGTTTTTTTTTTGAACTTGAAATATCCGATAATTGTGCAGATTTTGATGTCTCACTATCATTAACAGATGGTTTTATAACATCGACTACCAAAGGTAATTTTGGAAAGACATCACAACTTTCAGCCGAACTTAGAATTGAATTCTCTACATACTGCAAAATTTTTATTACTACGACAGAGGATATAAAAAAGCACAGAGATATAAAATGACATTTCACTTGGAATTCAGAAGCTTGGATTTTTTTTCTATTACCCATACTTAAGAATTAAAAGCAGCTTACATCTTGTATGGAGTTGATAATGCTGTCTTGTTCTAGAAAATATACAACAGACTTAGTGGGATGTACATTAACATCAACTCTTTTCGACTCAATCTATAACTCAAAGTTGACTGTTTAAATATATATTAATTCAGTTGAGGATATATTTTAAAAACAACAGGCTGTAAATATGTTGAATAGTACTGAAAAACTGATATTGAAGTGATTACATTGATGAAAAGTAAATACCTTTAGAGATATCATGACAAATGGCGATACGGTATTTTGGGCAGCAAAAACAATATCTAATGCTTGTTTGAGAGAAGGACATTCTACACTTCGGCCATTTATGAATAAATAAAAAACTTTCTGACGATTCTGAAGTTGGATTTTATTATCCATACTTTTGAATTCAAAAGCATCTGATTCAGATTTTCCACAAGAGTTAGTGATTATATATATATTAGGAATAGTAAGTACAACGACATTTAATATTATCTGTTTTTATCTAGAATTTGTATATAAAGAATTTAAAATTTAAAAATAAGTTTAAAAAGTTGCCTGTCGGTTTTGCACAGTTTCAGCTGAACATAGTGCATTAGGTCGTACTAAACAACCCGTTAAGGAGAAATGTAATAATGGATCACTATGGTTCAACGGTATGAGATCCTGAAACCAATAAACAACTGCTCAATTTCAAATTACATTGTAAAATAAAAGATATTGAAATGAAAATTTTTCTTTAAATGCGAAAAAATTCACTTTAGAGAACTTCCCGCCAAGTAATGAACATATAGTTTTATGAAGGTCACCATTACCAGCTGTTCTAAAATCACTTCCACTGCCACACCGTCGAAGAGTAAACGAAACAGCACTAAAATATGAAATAAGTGTTTCAAAATTACTAAAAGCAATCTGTTTAAAATGTTAAACAACAACCTACGGATTGTGAATAGCATATCGAATGACAATATCTGCGATACGATTCATTTCATCAGCAGGATATTTCAAAGCGCGACGACGTGATGGACAATTGTAGAATAAATCTTCTGCAGTTACCAAAGTTCCATCAAGTCCTGCAGAAGCTCTTATATCACCTTGTAGTTTACCATCTGTAATTAGACATTTAAGAAAATAAGAGTGCACTACTAAGTTGTCTAGAAGTAAATCTGATCTGCGATGCAAACCTAAGTAAGTAAACAATTTTCACCATTTTAAATACCCTTTTGAAATTTTTCTATATTCCTAATAGCCATTAACTTTCTTATAACAGAACCTTTATTAATACACAGTACGGTAATTTGAGCAATTAAAAAATCTTTTTTTTAAAAACTGGACTGTTTGTAATGGGAATCATTTTCAATACGAATAGTAAAACACCAAATTATCAAAACCAGCCAAACATAAAAATAAATTAACAATAAATCAACCCAAAAAAGCAGAAGAACCTGAGTAACGAGCAATATATGCACAAGGCGAGTCTGAAGTCTTAGAAATGATAGTCACTTTTGCTACATGACTTATAGATGCCAGTGCTTCACCTCTGAAACCAAACGTTTTTATACATTCCAAATCTTCGAATTTTTGTAATTTCGATGTTGTAAATCGTTCACAGACAAGCGTTAAGTCATCCTTAGCAATTCCTTTGCCATTATCCTGTAAAAGAAAGTTCAAAAAATCAGAAAACAAATATTGCGAAGAGCCATATGTTAATATTTGTTTTATAATATGACTAATATGCACAAAAAAAGAAGTACATTAGAACCACTCTATCACCTGTACTTTGAGCAAGTCAAGACCACCATTTTTGGCCGTAACGACAATCTCCGTACTTCCTGCATCTAACGCATTTTCGATCAACTCTTTAACGGCATTTGCTGCTCGTACGACCACTTCTCCAGCCGCAATTTGATTAACGACTTTTTCCGGAAGACGGCATATCTTTTTTTCTTGACTTGAATTCATTATGGATTGAGTTACTTTGTGATTCACATAACTGTAGATAAACATAAAAATTTGTTTGTATGAAAAGATATATAAAAAAAGAGTTGACAAGTCAGTTAAGTCAATCACATGTGCTGGGCTCAGTTTGAACGTGAACGTGCGTAAAAACATATCTCAAAATGTTGCATCTTAAGAAATTACGATGTAATGGACGAGCACTGCACATGGACGAAAATCGCAAAATGTTTGCGAGCCTGCTAGTACGAAAACGAAAAGATTTCAGGGTAATAATTGAAGTCGCCGGACACAGCTTCTAGTGTTATTAATATATGGGAATCGTGGATTGATTTCGAGAATTGTAAGCAGTTTTACTCATGATTTAGTTGAGGAAACACGCTATTCGTGCCATTTTTTGAGAAAAACACTTTCAGATGTTAAGGAAGCGATGATGATCGCTTTTCTTCGCAAACACTCATTCAAGTATCAGCTAAGTAATGACTACCTCCTGAAGAAAGTCATGGATTTCAGACTTATTCATATTCTTCATTTCTATAGAAGATTGCGATGGCGTGAGATGCGTTATTGAGACATAATGAGATGATACCTAAAATGATGAAGAAACTGAATTAAATTTTATACACTTTAAGTTTTGTTAAAAAAATTTAAACTTAAAAAGAATTGAATCTGAATTTTCAAGAAAACTTTATCCGAATTTTGAAAAGCCTAGAATGTGTATGCGAAAACAATACATTTATTAGTTATTACTAAAGGTTGTAAAAAATTATAAAAATATTAACGTTACCAGGTTTTCAACTACTAAATTTCCGGTAATTTGACAATTTTAGTATGAAGTTTTAATTTTTTTTAATTTGCAGTGGTTATAAAGTTATTTTTACAGAGAGCTAAGTGTAGAATTGATGAAAAAAGTGTGCAAATGAGTAATTGTTGAAAAAAATGTGCAAAGGATTCAGATGGTAACTCCGTTACTTGGCTTCTTTTTAGCACGATTTATATTTATGTTAATAAAATTTGTTATTACTTTTTTTCCCTTAAATTACAGAGTTTGAGAGTTGACTTTATTTTGTATATTTTCTTTTTCAAACATCTCATTATTCTTGCACTGCATAGCATGAGACATAAAAACCATTACAACATCTGAAAAGAGGTCTGATATGATAGTCGCGGTAATGGAAGTGTTCACGAATTGCAAATATTCTTCAGCAAGACGCGTCTTCTCTGGCCTCTCAGATGAACCGGTATTTGAATTTGAACTGGTAGTTGAAGTTAAATGAGTACAAGCAATGCTGTAGTAATATTTTTCATCGACTTCCAATTTAGAGGGTGGTGTAACGAATGGCAAACCGTATAAAAGCATGCTTTTGAAGCGAGAATTGATAGATAAAATGCATATATATTCGTGAGCAACTTGTCATCAATTCATAACCGAATGTTCCACTTCAGATTCTCGCTCTGATCTTTGCATAATTTTTCCATCATTACTTTGTTAATTAATTGATTGATGTGGTAAAATCACAAACTGTGCGTGCTTCTTCTCCACTTCAATGAAATGATCGTTTTTTCTATTTAGATTGAAATTATCAAGTTTTTGAAATGTTTCCATATTCTTTTATACTGAAAATTATTCATTGAAACGAAAAATTTCCCATCAATATTAGAAAATTTATTTTTTGTAAACTAAGCAAATATTAAAGATGGAAAGTGAACCTCGAGAAAAGGCTTATACGTTTGTGACGTACACAGCGTTGACCTTCTCCTTAGTATCAATCTTGGCCATTTTTGTTACTTTACCTATGGTTAATAACTACGTGAACAGTATCAATGCCAGGGTTGCTGAAGAAGTTGAATACTGTCAGGTGTGAATTTTTGCTTATTAGCATTAATGAAGATAAATAAATTTGAATTTGGATTTCTACAAAAGGAAATTATAAAAGTTAGAGAACAAAAAATATATATCTAGCATTAAGTTCGATTATTTTTGTACTATTTCTATCACATTCATTCTTAGCGTAGTTCTGAAAGGTCATATTTTTCTAACGACTCAAATAAGCTTTTAACTTTGATATAACAAGAGCAGTTTGAGAGCAAATAATATCGAATATCTCGTAAATATGACCAAGTATCCCTTTAATTTCCTAGTAAAATCACTAAGAATCAGTTTTTTTGATTAAGAAATGATGACTGCTTTCAAAAACAGTTAGTTGCAAAAATGTTAGAATATTAGCATTTGAAATGTAACTTTAAATTAATTAAAAATTTACCAATAATAATTCTGTGGCGAGCGATTAATAAACAAAAAATCAGTGGTATGTATTTTGCTGATCACTGAAGGAGCTGTTAAGTAATTTGGAGAAAATAAAATTTGCTAATCATTGGGTGCAATTTGAGACGATTTAAAATTCAGTCTACAACTTAATGACAAAAGTTTGGGTGATTACTTCAAGCTTCTTTGCTGGGCAAAAGGAATCCCTTTTCTATATAACTTAATTGATGATTTGAAGCTAATTTGATGTCTTCTTGGAAATTAAAAAAATCACTGCTCTTCCACATGAACAAATGAATGATTCTATTAGCTAGAAATTTACTTTGTTCAACTGCAATGCAGAATATTAGTAATAGTTAATGCAAAAATAAACTCCCAAACATTGCTAACAATTTTTTTAACCCGATTAATAAAACTTTTATTGTAGACATCAGCTCGTGAAGTAATGCTTGAAATGCGGGACTACCGTGCACCATCAGGACTAGATAAAGTAATTTCAGTCGTTGATGGCAGTAATTATAAAGCACTTAATATTACTCGTGCTAAAAGGCAATCTGGATGTGAAGGTTTTTTTCTTTTACTATTTTTTATGTTTTTTTACAAACATTTTCAAATTTATTGAGGTTTAAGAAAAGTTTGCATCACATACTAAGAGATAAGTAGTTATTGACTTCAGGATGTTGTTTACCTGGGGCACCAGGTCCAGATGGAATTCCTGGCAAGCCAGGAATGCCAGGACGTCCTGGAGCACTAGGTGCTCCGGGATTCCCAGGAAGACCACCAAGGCAGGCTGATTTTTTCTTTCGATACTTTTTAAGCACATTAGTACAAATTCAGTATTTTCTGATTTTTTACAAGTCATCTTATTGAATTAAGTATATAAGTCAATCTAAATGCTTGCAATCTTTTGGCATATGAATTTCAAAATTTTTAAATTTATTTATTCTTGCGTTTTGTTATTGACAGTATTTATGAAATTGAAATTTTTTGAATTATCTTAGGATTTGCGAAGAGTTAGAACCACCGCCATGCAAGCCATGCCCACCAGGCCCTCCAGGACCACCTGGATCCGGCGGTGATAAAGGTTTGTCTTTTTAAGCATTTTGAATGTATTTTTTTGATAACTATTTGAGAATAACTTTTAACATGTTATTTTTGAATGCTGCATTACAGAACTCTTTGTGAACAGTTTCATCTTTTTAACATATATATTCTGTCTTGTAATTAATAGATCATAAATTTATATATATATATATATATATATATATATATATATATATAT